TTGTCCCCTTTCACTTTGTTCTTCAATAGTCAGGATCACCACAGGACCACCACAGAGCAGGTATTATTTGGGTGATGGATCATTCTCAGACCCATTATCACCACTATTACGCTGCCCCAAAAGAGAATTAGGAAGACTAACTGAAATTCTCCAAAGATTAGAAATTTATTTAGTTAATTTGCAATAAACCAATATGTTTGATCAAACCAAAAAATCTGCTTTTAGTTACAGTGCACCAGTGATCTGGAACTCACTACAGGAAACACTAAAGCTCAGCTCGCTGGTGTCACTCAGTAATTTTAAACATCTACTCTCTAACCACCTCCACTCTGCCTGCAGCTGTTTTACCTGATTTTTTACTATTATTGTCTTATTTTCATTATTTTATTATTTATTTGTTTGTTTATTTATTATTTTTCATATTCTTATTCTTATTTTAATTATGATTATTTTATTATTTTAGTCATTTTAATTCATTTTTAGTTTACTTTTTGATCTTATTCTCCATTTATTTTATTTTGATTTGATTTTATTAACTTTTACATTTAGCTACATGTTAATTATTGTTTTGAGTTGATTTGTACCTGATTTGAGTCATTGTTTAATTAAATTTACTTTTATTATTTGACATGTTCTTAACATTATCAATCCCTTGTTCTGTATCAGTTCGGCAACATTGTAAATGAGAGTCACCCTCAATGTTCTCCTGGATTAAATATAGGTTGATTGATTGTATTTCCATACAAAGGCCTAGTAAATGCTGTGGTCAGTAAAGGAGAGTTATTAACCAATTCTGGCAGTACTACCTAACTGCATATTGCAGGGAAACTTCATCTCTTACACTTTGAGTTTGATGCTGCCTTTCTCATTAAACATTTTTGTCTGACTAGTTTTTGATTTGGTCTTTGTTTTTTTACAAGCAAAAGTAAAAATAAGCTGTGTGTTTATGATTTCTGTAGTTCTCCACTGCAGCAATGATCATGCAGTTGCACCTAATGTGCTGTTCTGATTATTGGTTTGTTGAATTAACATTCTCAGCTCTGTATGTCTCTGAAATCATCCCCCATGAGTTCCAGTCTTTTGTTTCCTGCCAATGGGTGATAGCAGAAATGAACTGGAAGGGTAATGACGAGTAAAAATAAATAAATAAATGCCTATAAATAAACACAATAATGCCTATGAATAAATAAATGCCTATAAATAAACACAATTGACCAGTGTATATTTTTGCTGCCTTCAACTTACGAAGCCAGACCACTGCATACTCCAAAATAAAGATATCTAAAAAGCAGTAATGCAAAATTGATTACCACTGGATCTCTGCCACAAAGCTGAAGTTAACCTGAAATCAAAATTGACCTTTTTATTTTGTTAGTTGGTCTTACAAAGCAGGATTCATCATATCATACTGCTTAATGGACAAAATTCTAGTGTTTAGTTTTCTCCCTGACTCTCCCTGATAGTGTAAATGAAAATGAATTGTTTTCCAATTCACATTGACTTCAGTGATGCTGTTTATGCCATTTTGCTGTAAAATGAGTGAAACATGAAACGCGAGGTGTAAATGGCCTTCATCTTTAAGAAGTGAATTAATGTTGTTCAAACTCTGTACCTGGGGTTAGGCTGTCATTGCCAGTCCTATTATTACCAGATTAGATACAGGATCAAAGTCTGTGTGTCACACACGCGACACACAGCATGCATACATGCACATAGCACACACACACAAAAGGAGAGAAAGAGAGAGAGAGAGAGACAGAGAGAGTGTCAGACAGGGATAACCAGTTACCCTACCTAAACACTGAGAGGTGAAGCAAACACACCAGAACAACAGGTGGCTCAGTAGTCGGCACAGTGAAATACTCAAGTATTCCTTTACTGAGACCTGTTAGTGTAATGATCAAAGCACAATGCTGAATCAGTCCTGTCAAAATGTCTCTTTATGACCAGTTAATCGCTCAACTTGTCATTCAAGCCTTTTTCAGACTTGATAACTAATCTCCTCTGTTGGTCATCGCTCATGCAGCAATTTTCCTCGATAAAATGTTCAAAAAGCTGCTGCTCATCTGGTCCAAAGCCTTTCTAAATTCTCCTATGTAACTCATTAAAATCACATCACTGGCTCTCTGTGGCAGCAAGAAACAGATACAAGCTTTAGGTCTGGCATTCCAGGGCACAAAGAGCTCAGCTCCTTGGTGCGGAACCCCATGCCTGCAAGCCGTAATAGGTCTTCGACTTCTATGTTCTTCTCATGTCCTTCCCTGAGATCGAAGCTCACTTATAAGATAGTGTCTCACTGCTTCAGCATCTTTGCCCATCCATGGTGGGACGAGTTTCCCCCTGAGCTCAGCATTCAGCAACTTCTCAGTTCTTTGCGCTGTGTACTTTCAGCCTTGGGTAACATCTTTTGGCACTCTTTCTCCCTTCACTTCTTAATCTTGCATTCAATATTTGAGCTCGTTGTTGAGTTACTGAAACAAAACTGTACTTCATATTTGTATTCAAGGCCTACAGCTGTATTTATTTAAATATGTCAAGCTATGATATTTGCTCTTGTCTTTTAGGTCATAGATTCTTGTTGTGTCTGAGCATTTTGCATCGGGTTCCACTGTTTGTATGTAGCTTTGGAGAAAAGCTTGTTTTATAAGAATGAACCTAAGTGTACACCCTTAAAAACGTTCTTCAAGGGTTCTTATATAGATAATATAAACTTCCTTTTGCCTTTCCCCTTTTCTCCAAATGTAGTGTGGATGTGAGTTGCTCTTTAACAGAGCACCTCACGGATCAGTGGAGGAAAGCTCTGAGGAATGCATCTGCTCAATTAAAAACAAGCGCCAGTCACACGCAATGTTAGTCCAGATCTCTGCCCAGCCGTTTACTAGGTGAGAGATTCTGCAGGATCGGGATGGATTTAGGAATCAGGCTATGTGTGCATGAAGAAAGCAGACACCAACCCCTAGAAGTAAACATTCAAACTACTAAAAAAGGAAGACTCGTCTGTTGTTGCATGCATTTTCTCAACTCTGAGTGCTGCTAATGCCAGTGTAAGTGTAAATTTTTATTGTTTATTCTTAACAATCATTTAGTTTAACATGGTATTAGACCTGATCTTTTTACATTGTTCTTTTTATACTTTTATGTAATCCAGTATTTTATTTCTTTAATCAATTTTAAAAAATCTTTTTGCATTTTAATGCTTTTTTGATTTTTCTCCTTCCTTTTTTACATTTATTAAACAATGTACAAACCTATTGAACTACTTTGTTTTAATACATTGTGAAACACTACAAGCTGCTATAAAAATAAAGTTATAAATACCAAGTAAATGTATATACATATATAAAATATATATACAAGTATCTCCAAAATGGTAACTTTACAAGAGATGGCAAAAATGCTCTTTACTTTCAATGCAAGTTAATGTATACATATAAATACATATATATCTATATATAATGCATACAAAAGTGTGGTTCCATTGACTTACATTAAAGCAAAGAAGGTTTTTTCCTTCTTCTGTAAAATTATCATTTTGGAGATACAAGGTTTTGTTTCAACAATAGCGATATATATATATATATATATATATATATATATATATATATATATATATATACACATATATATATAGTCAACTCCTACATTTAAACCTGAATCGAAGGAAAATTCATGCAGTTTTACAGTTTGAGTGTGTTGTTCTCATTTTCCTTTCTGGGTGTTCTCACTTTTTCAAAGCTACATCAAGCGAGAACAGCCAATGGCGGAGAACACTAGTCTAACGCTACTGCCTTGGTGAAAGCTAAAAAAAAATTAATTGATGAGGTGAAACAGGCATTTAAACATTTTGGTTATTTAATATATTTTCAATACATATATTATCCACTTTATATTTACTCAATTAATGTCTTTTGACTTTGTACAAAAAAATGTATCCTTAAGTGTAAATAAACATATGTTTTCAAAAATGAAACTGATACAGGAAAAAAGTTTAGACACTATTTTGGATATATGAGGTTTATGGGGTTTGGTTCTGAAATGTATTGATAGATATATACACATCTGTGTCAGTCTCCCTGCCAGTACAATTGCAAGTCTATCAGAGGGACTCTCGAAACCACAGGGAATTGAACAGTTTGCCATAAGAGATGGGCTAGAAATGAACCACAATGCTGCAAAAATGACTTTTACTATAGATGTCTCAAAGTTTTAATTGCCAGCAATGACTTTGCACCAAAGTACTAAAAATACTCGTTTGTGATGTCTGAATATTTTTCTCTATCGGTTTTGCTTTTTTGAACATATCTTTATGTATTCCTATGAAGACATACTTCTCATTCATATATAAAAGTATAAAGTCAAAATATATTAGGTGTGTAAATGTGAAGTGGAAAACCTTAAAAAACAAAAACAAAAATGGCTGGATACTTGTTTTCCCTTACTGTATTCTGTATTTCATTCTTCATATCTATTTTTTATCCATTTTATCCATTATCTATTTTTTTTCTATGAAGGACTGTTGAGATGTCTATTACTTGAAATTTGTGTGCATCCATGCATGTGTGTATATAATGTTTGTCTTGTTTGTTCTGGTTTGCCGTGTTACATATATTAAAATGCAATAAACACATATTGATAAAAATATATATATATTGACTCATACCCCTAGAAACCATAGACATAAGGCATATATATTTTGCATAACACAATATCATCATAAATGTTTATCTATGATGATCTCTGACACTATTTCAGTACAGCTCCACATGGAGGCACTAATGCGTCTTTTCACTGACTGAGTAGAGTGGTTGGCGTGATGAATTACACTGCAGACATACATATATGTCCATGTGTGGATACCAAAGGCTGTGTGAAGAAGTATTCTGTGCTAGAATGGCTAAGTATTTTGCACCTGGGTTACAAGCTGAAGAGAAATGAGGATGAAAGGAAGTGGCCTAAAAAGTGTCTATCCTTTAAGAAGATTTAACATGAGGGGAAAAAAATCACACTCTGTGCACCGTGTGGGCGGCCTCCTTTCGTCCAAGTGGCTGAGAGGCTTAGAGAGGTCAGGTAAGGCCTTTAGGCTTGTGTTCTAACCTCCTACTGATCACATTTTACACAGAGGCAGCACAGAATGAAGACAGCACATCAGAAACAAAGAAGTGTAGAAAAACAAAAAAATTGTCCAACATCCCACAGCATGATGTATTAAGGCTTTACGGGGCAGAGGGATCTTTAAACCAAAAGAAAAGGGAACTGAGGGTTCAGGTGAAGAATGAAGGACAGTGAAAATGAGAGTAGATAAAATGTACAGAATGGAGTGAGGGAAAAGAGGATAGATCATTCTAGAAGTAGATGGATGGTTAGGGGTGCCAAGTTAGGGAGATGACCTTGCGATGGCTGTCCACTCAGCTTTGGAGACATCGAGTAATGGGTCTTTTATTGACCCTGGCGGTGACCGTCATCCTCATGCTTCTGGCCACACAGTCTCTTCAGAACACCAGGTAAGGAGCCAAAGTGGGGATGCTTAATTTGGTTGTTTTGGTTGTTCAGAACACAGCAATACTCTAGTCTAATGAAGTGTAAGATCTTTAATAGTCTGTAAGACTTAGCCTAAATATGGGCAATCAGTCAAGATATGCTTAGTGTCAGAAATCTGCTTCTTTTACTTTTAATTTTTTTATTAGGTTAGTTTATATATATAAATAGCAGTACTGGCTGTCTTGAAGCCCAATTTTGGTCTGTATTTATATCCATTTTTATAGGTAACAGTATTTCATACAATATCAGAAAACATACTGATACAAGCAAGTCTATTTGATATTACTTAACAACTCAACGTGGTTTAAGACAAATGGACGATGATTTAGGCACAATACTAACTGATGGCATATTAGCTTTCATTACCTCTTACATTAGACTCCAAAGGAAAACTGAAGAAGCAAACTTCAGACACTAAAAATGTCTTGGCTGATTAACTGATTAACCATCTGAAGTAAGGATGATACTGTGAAAAACAGTGTGTAATCTCGTCATAGGGGCCACAACGTGAGGCTGTCAGGGGAGAGGAGACAGCAAAAAGGGCATGATCACAAACATCCACCAGTCCGCCCTGGATCTGCACCAAGACATATGGCAAGCAGTGCAGAAGGAATAAAGAACCAGCTGCTTCCCACTGCTGAGTCCGTCAACCAGGCCGTAAAGAAAGGAAGGAGCCCTCCGCCTGTGGCCTTCCTCAAAACACACAAGACTGGCAGCAGCACCGTGCAGAACCTGCTGTTCCGACTTGGAGAAAGAGAGAAAGCCACCTTCGCCTTCCCCTATTACACCTACCAGTTCAGCTACCCTGAGAGGTCTGTGGATGCAATATACTTTCTTAACATTTCACGTTGTGTCAGCAGTAATCAGTGCCACTATTGCAGTACCAGGTCATCTAGAGTACACAAGGCCTCATAGTGTGTTATAAAGAAGATACCGAGCTCGACCTTGGTAATCACTGGTAATGTGGGTCAGATATGGCTATAATGGACTGATAAAAGAAATGCAACTTCAGTATAAGACCTACACTCATGCTGTATTTTCATTCATTTTAAAGATGGAATAAGAACAAAATATGTTGTTGTACTTGCATTGATTTTATGTGAAACTGAACGAGCGTCTCTGAACGGGCTCCCTTCTAAAGATAGTATTTGCTAACAACTGTTAATATAATGTGGCGTCAGAGCACACACTGTTCTGCTTAGTTAAAAATAATAATTAAGTTAATAATAATAATTTAGTTAATAATAATAATAACAAAAACAACAACAACAATAATAATAATAATAATAACAATAATAATGTGTATAATGTTATTAAAATGCTTGTTTGTGATAAGCTCAGGCTATTTAGTTAGTTAGGAAGTGTTATAGAAAGTGTTATTCCTTTTGCAAGGACTCTTATTGTGAAGGGCAGGGCTAGGTTTGGTGGTGTGTTTCCATAGCAAGCTTCAGTGTTGGCCTAGAAGCTAACAGGGAGTAGCTGTGAGCTAGCCTGAGCATGATTTTTCCTTCTGTATTCTGTTTGCTGTGCTGAGTTTCCAGTAAAGATGAGTTATGAACCAGAACTTTGACATGTCCAAGTTTCTTGAGGAAACCCCCAACATCACAATATAATAAATATGACCCATTTTCACAAATTAACCCATATTTTGCCAGATTTTTGTGATGTTTGTCTGTTAATGAGCCACATCTGTTCATAAACCTTTAACAGTGTTTACCTAGTGAAACATTAAAAGCTAGAAATTGATGTGTAGCTGATCTGGGATCAGGATCTGCCAGTCTGAAGGCTAACATACTGATACAGCACTTGTTAGCTAAATTAGCTTTTACTAAGTGAAGCTAGACTTATCAGTCATTTTCTGAGAAGTGCCTGCTCTCACACCACTCCACCTCAAAAGCCAAAAGAAGGATAGAAGCTATTGGCTAAACTGAAAAGGAGGCAAATGAAGTTAACATCAGAGCCAGTTCTTGAGGAGCCTGGCCTCTTCCCCTGTTATATCAAAAAAAGGCCTGCAGAACGCCAGAGGGCGCCCACGAGCAAGTCCTCAATGAATGGGGGTGAATGAGTTAAATGGCTAAAAACGAAAAGTTTAAATAGCTGCTAATCACTTGCCCACAACTTTCCTTTCATTTTAGAAAGTAGAAGCTTGTATTTCACTAAAAAGGAAAGGTTTGTTTCCTAGTTTCTACATTCAGTACAATATAGATAGGATGACCTTGTCTTTTGTGTGGTTTCAGGTTCAGAGCAGAGTTTGTGGATGAGCTTCCAGAAGGATCGTCTCAGTTTGACCTGCTGTGCAGCCATATGCGGCTGGATCTGAGCCAGCTGAGACAGGTGATGCCTCCAAACGTGGTCCTCGTCACCATCCTGCGAGAGCCCCTCAGGACCTTTGAGTCTGTCTTCAGCTACTACACTTCCAGCATACCTGCTTTCTCCAGGGCCAAGCAAGCAGCCGCTAGGGCTGAAAACAAGGACAGGACCACGCTCTCTGTCTTCCTGGAGGATCCAGAAAGCTTCTGGGACCCAAAAGAGCCAAGGGATGGTCTGGCTAAGAACCCCATGAGCTTCGACATGGGCTTGAACAATGAGGAGTGGAACGCCTCTTGGCCCGAAGACTTGTCCCATCTAGAGGAGGCCTTCGACCTGGTGATGATTGCAGAACACTTTGATGAGTCACTGGTTCTCCTAGGGGCCCTGCTGGGTCTGGAGCCACAAGACTTGGCCTATGTTTGGATGAACGCTAGGCAGAGCAGTGATGTGACTATGTTGGATGATGATGCCAGAGCCAAGCTGCGATCATGGAATGCACTGGACTCCCTCCTCTATGACTTCTTCCTGCAGGAGTTCTGGGCCAAGGCCGAGCATTTTGGCCTGGACCGGCTCAAAACAGGGGTAGCTGAGCTTAGCGCCTCCACAGAGAAGATACGGAGCAAGTGCGTGTCCAGGGCTGCGGTGCACCCTAGTGAGCTGGAGGACTTAGTGCGGCCCTGGCAGACAGACACGGCCACCATACTGGGATACGAAGTCAAAAGGAACCTCAGTCTGGAAGATCAGGGGTTCTGTGTGCGGCTGGTGCTGCCTGAACTGCAGTATCACTCTCATCTGTACTTTCAGCAATATGGCAGAGATATGAGAGCCGTGCCTGCAGACTGACACTTGGACTAATGGAACAGTATGGCAAAAAATCTTACACAATTTTACTCTTACCCCAAATGTAGTCAATAAGCCAAGATATTTGGGTTTGAAGGTTGCTTATTTAGTTTTGCACTGGAGCTACAAGGATAATTTCAAAAGTAATGGAATGCTGCATCAATTAGCATCATGCAAACTACATGCATAAATCATTACACACATACTTTAAATTTGGACATAATACTTGTCCAAGAATGCATATACTGCTATATGAAATATACCTGTATAGTCTGTACATTTTTATAGATAACAACTGAGGAGGACCACAAGCTAACAGCTAAAGGTAACAAGGTCTTACCTCGGTTTGGCTCCTTTTCTATGTTTGACATCCGATGTGTGCTGAATAAAGATAGAAACACTGTTTTCTTTAACAGGTAGCTGACAACTGTGGTAGACGTTATGCTAATGCTAGCTTGGTTGCATTTATCGTTTGAGTTTTTAACTTTAAGCACACTCCGGCCAAAATAAAAAATGTTATCACTGCTAACCTTTTTTAAACGTGCTTACTTTCATCCTATAGTGGTTCCAGAATAATCTCTAGAGTGAGATTTTCTGGTTTAAAAACTCAGACCACCTTCTGATGATGTGTCTGAAGGTGGGAGGAACATTTGGAAAAACCTCAACTGCGTTAGGGAGGATTTTGGGGGTGGGCTGTTTTAATAGCTGGTGAAAGGTAAATAGCTAACATTGTTACGGAAACCCTAAAGGGCCATGTTTTTTCCGCTCATTTTTCAGTGATAAGTTATTTTAATTTGTTTTATTGACATCTCAATATATTTATGCCATTATCAAGACACACTAAATGTTATCTCGATAAAATAATGTGCGTTATGCCATGATAATGATGTAAATAACTCGTGATAATGGCACAGATATCACAAGATCTGAGGAAAAACAATGAAAATAACATGTTATCATGGAAAAAACGGAGTGAAAAAAACATGCAAATCCACTGCTCAGCAACCAGATATCTTATTGCAGCCTTATAACCTTAGTAACATGGAAAATGGATTACTCAAATGGCCAAAATGACTCGTTACATGAGTAGAACAACAAGCTAACAGCATAAGCTAGCAAGGTAGCTACATCGCCAACTGTCTTACCTCAGTTTGGCTCATTGTCTCTGTTTGAGTGTTGTGTGCTGAATATAGATAGAATCACTGTTTTCTTTACAAAGTTGTTTGGCAGCCGAGGTAGGAGTGAGACTAATGCGAGCATGGTTGCATTAATTAGCCCATAGATCAGCGGTTGTATGGGGTATTTGCTTAACTCATGCTGGGTAGTGTAGTGACAGAACATTGATGAATGAAAACATGATATGAAGAGTGTGATAATTTAGATATGCAACTTTGGTAGGCTATAAGCTTCCATTACCTGTTAGCCACTTTAGCCTCATAGCTTAATGGCAAATGTGTGAATTTGATTTTTTACTGGACTATTTCTTTGAAGATACTATTCCTTTAGATTTTTCTATACTATTAGCTTCTATTCACAAAAAAGCACACTCTGTTTCTTTCCAGTAACTGCTCACGGTGGGCCTAAAGCAGAAAAAATGCCATCAGAGGAGATTCTAGAGTCTCTTACTGAATTAGAAAATGCAAGCCAGAAAAGAGCAACAGGCCTTTCCAATTACTTACTGTAATCGATGTCCAATTACTTTTTTTTAATTAAACGCTAAGAGTCTGAAAGTGCAGTTTTTTTTTCTTTGTAATTTATAATTAACATTACCTACATCTCTCATTTATCTTTTTCAGCTGTTTATTGAGTTTATTAAACTGCATCAGAACAGAAAAGCCATTCCTGCATCATTGTCTTAGCAAGAGCAGCAGAACTCTCCATTGTGTCTCCTAAATCTATGATCAGCATTCACATTCAGCCAGGCCAGCGCACTAAACACATGGAAAAAAAGTTCAATTCTTTTTGTGTTTTGTATATTTTAATTTTAAAATGCTTAATTTTAAGTTATTTACAGAATAAAGTACATACAGTGAGAGAAACACAGCCTTGACATTATACCGGATCTTGCAATGGACCAAAACCTTCATTAAAATTGCTAGCAAGAAGACAGACTAGCATAAAACCAACAAAGTGACACTCAAACATGCACACTCACACACAGCCTCCCAGTAAGAAATAAATAACGTCTTTACAAGTGCAGAAGCTGAACATCCAGTATTTCCATCAGCTTTGATTTAGACATCAAGCATAAATCAGCTTAGACACCAGTTCTCAGAGGACACGTTAAAGCAGACCTTATCTTTCAGACACAGTGCAAAACTGGCTTATTGTCTTTATATCAGGATGTCTGAAATCCAAACTGCACGGCTTAGTGTTGGTTCTGCTGTACGACACTGGATTCAACTGCATTAGCTGATGAGTAGAATCAGACCTATAACAACCATGAAAAAGACTAAAATGCTGTGACCATTCAAGACTAGAGTTAGAGAACCCCGTTTTATAAAAGAAACAGGCCCTGATTTTACATTAGGCACTTATAAGAACTGCACTGAAACATGTAAGAACCATAAGACCTGCACTGCCACATGACCAATTACTGCTTTAAATACAGGGATGCACAATGATATCAGAATCACAGTATTGGCATTAGACAGATGTTTAGATCTGACATTTGAAACTGTTATCTGATGACATGATATTTGAAGGGCAGAACATTTAGGCAATGCTGCATTTTATTAATTTTTCTGCATTTGTAAATAGGGATGCACAGTGATATCAGAATCATATCAGTATCGGCAGATATTTGTTTTAAAAATATCTGGACAGATTTTTAGATTTGACCGATGTTTCAAAATGATATAAATAAATCTTTTTGGTAATCTGGGTTATTACGCTAAATAACCGCACTTTACTCTGTTTAGTGCATTGGTAGGACTCCACAAATAAAGGTTATATTTTTCTGTAATGCAAATTCAGGTGGATCTATTTTTGAATTTTTACGCTTTATCAAAATGTTTATGTATCGGTAGTAGTATCTGCATTGGCAGACATATATATGAAGAATATCGACTATCTGCACTGGCCAATAAATTATCATATCAGTGCTTCAAATCCAACCACATATGCACTGTTTCACAGCAAATGGTGAAAGGCTTGACAAGCTTTACAGAATGCTGGCAAAATCCCTTTGAACCTAATATAAAACTGCAGTGAACAACTGTCAAAATACCTACATTTATATGTTAATTTAAAATTACACTTATTTCGTATGCAGATAATGTTTTGTGTGTGTATGTGTGTGTGTGTGTGTGTTACTGAGCTAACATTCGTGGAAAATTCAATGTTGTTGTTTCCAACCTACCTAGTTTCAGTTAGCAAGAACAACATAATCCAGCTCAGTGACACAGCATTTTAAACTGGAGCTTCAATGTTATACAGCAACTCTAAGAACATTATAATTTCAAATAGGCTGTATGGGAATTTTTTGGCATAATACTGTAAAGCTTGCCAACCTCGCCACAGTAGCTAAGAAAGAACAAATTTGTGGGCGGAGCTTGGATAGGTCAAATGAAAGGCATTTAATCTTAACATTTACGTGCTTTTGGGGAATTTTGGCCGCATCATTATTATCAACTGTCTGAACTGAAGCAGAACAAATGCTGGTTTGAGATAAATAGCTATTGTGGCCAACACTAGAGGTCACAGCTCGCCGTTGCTGCATGTTAAGATGAGAGGACAAACACAATTAAGACTCCGGGGAGAGGATAAAGACTTAAACCTCAGCGACTCTAAAAGTGTTTGTGCCCAGAGGCTTAAGAAGCCAATGACCTGAACTGGATGGGAAACACAGAGCTTGGCATTCGAAGGAGCAGTGAGAAATGGTTCAGCAAAAAAAAAAATCTAATTTCCACTTACCTCCACTTTCACTCACCCAAGACATGTTTAAGACTTTAGTTTAGCGCTGGAGCTAAAACTCTAGGGTGGCTAACAAACGCTAGAAATTAATAGATTAATAGATTAATAAATCTTTTCCGTGAATACAGCCACAAAACTTCTCTAAACCCACTTAAACCACATCCAGGTCTTCTTTAAGGTTGTGCAGATTTGTCAATGTATACAGTATAACTAACAAAATGAACTATAAAAATGATCACTTGCGCATCTTATGCAGGCATATGAATGTTAAGTTACATTCATGATTTCAGATTCTATTTTTAAACATATCTTTAGTTCAAGATGAACAGTTATAAAAAGAAAGAACGGAAAATGTGAATGAAATCTGTAGCGTCCATATGTCGGCATGACAGGCATGCAAAGCCATTTTTGTACAAAATGGCTCCCGGCAATGTTCAGCTACTCTGTGTTTTTTAAATATATATGTTTTTTTTAAATATATTTTTATCATTTTCATAGTTCACAGTAAGTCACAGTGTGTCCTAAACCACACTGAAAAGTCCGCACAACCTTAATGAAGACGTGGATGCAGTGTGAGCACATTAAAAGAGGTTTTGGGCATGTACTTACAGAAAAGATTTGGGTCACTATTGACTTCTAGTGTTTCTTAGCAATACTGGCTTTGTAGCTCCAGCACTAAACTAAAGGAGCAAAATCTGGACATCAAACATGTCTTGGCAGATCACTACATCTGGTGTAAGTGGGAAATTAACTGAGCCTTTACTTTAAAAAACACTGGCAGTGTGGGATCTAACAATAATATCTTGAGTGAACAGAGCGATATGGACTGATCGACACAGTACAGCTAACAGGTCATTACAGTAAGTAGTGTTTTTAAAACAGCATTTAGAAAATGTTCACTAGAGCCAGCTAACACACACACAGTAATTATGTTAGTTGACATGTTCTCCATGTTCAGTATTTTTAGCTTTAAGGTTCTGTAGTGTGCTCCCCATGCTCCTGAACATCGGACCAGAACTGCAACAGGTCAACAAAATTCACTCACTGGCCATTCTTCATCTACGTGTGCGTTATTGACACTGCTATCTGAACATTCGTCCAGTTGCCAACACCTTCGGCTTTAAAGAAAGTCCTAAAGCTTATAGAAAAGACACGAAAATCTTATATTAAATATAAAAGCCTGAAGGGCAACCAAGATCTTCTTAAAAAACTACCAAAAATATTAAAATTACTTTTGCTGGCTTCTCCAATTAGAAACTAGGAATTTGTTCACGTCTTCAATACTGACTCCAGTGTTCAAAGCATTACAAAGTCATCCACGCTGCTGCGCTTATTGCTCCGTTTCTGGTTGTCTTTGGCCGCGATGTGGACTACGGACTCAGAGGTAAACGCTTCTTCCCCATGCTCATCCTGCCCACTGCCTTCCACAAAGGTGAAGATGGGGTACGTCCCAACAGATGAGGTCAGAGCCTGGGGGCAGCAAGAAGGAAAAAAACAGAGTGATACAGTAAGGGTCCTTCATATGATGTCAGTTTCTCTCTCTAACAGTAGTGTTCAAACATTTGGAATCAATGTTTTTATTAATATGAACCAATTGGGTTGCAGATAAAAATATATTATTGATACATCTATTGATATATTCAATTTCACTGGTTTCAGATAACTGGTAGGTAGCTATAATAGACCTGTCACAAATCATTTAAGCTGATTAACTGCTACGTAAATTGTTTTTCTACCATTAAAATATGAACCTAAAGTGGCCAAATTGGTTGATTAGCTATTTTGCTTCCTAGCTGTTACAAAGTTGCTCCCAACTGACAACAGACAGAGCCGAAGCTCAAAGAAACAAGCAAACAAACTTTAGTTGCCCTCTAAAGGTGTAAGAAAGAAATCTGAACTTGACATGTCACAATAAATGTGTTTTCTGCTTTCTTATTTCTATATTTACATGTATTTGCCCCAAACCAGTGGATGAAAACTCATCCCATTCACATTCAAACATAAAATTGTGACAGCTAATTATGTAAATTATGGAATAACTGTGACAGGCCTGTAAATGATGAACAGAGGTGTAGATGATTCTAAAATGACTAAGAAAGCTGTACAACATCAACAATTCCATATCCAGAACTTCAAAAGTGGTGATAAAATCTCAAAGCAGACACTTGATAAAAAAATTGTAAATGTAGTATATAATTCATCACTTAAGAACTTTTTGTTGTATCGAAAAAGTTCATTAAAACATATTAAAACAAGTTTAGCAATTAGTTTATAAATGTATACACATACATTATTTTTATGTATGAAACAACAAACAGCATTAATATGGTAATTGATTCCAAAGTTAGTCATGCTCTAGTCCTTTATCAGTGGTCACAGGACGCTGCTCACAGGATGCTGTTGGCTGGATATTTTGGTTGGTGGACTCTTCTCAGTCCAGCAGTGACACTGCGATGTTTAAAGACTGTGTGTGATCCACTTGTACTAACGCAACACACACAAACATGCCACCACCACGTCAGTTTCACTGCAGTGCTGAGAATGATCCTGTGGGGGTCCTGATCTTTGAAGAACAGGGTGAAAGGGGGCTAACAAAGTAAGCAGAGAAACAGCTACAAAGTGCACCAATAGGGTAAGTGGAGCTGATAAAATGAACAGTGAGAGCAGAAACCAGGAGGTGGTTTTAATGTTATGGCTGATCAGTGTATAATTCCTTGTATGTTTCCCCTGCTGTGCAGTCTGGCTTGCTTACCATGGTGACGTCAGTGCAGAGAGAGTCAAAGTCCTTCCTGTTTCCAGCGTAGAACCCCAGAGTACAGCTGGGGTCCATGCGGTGAAAGGCCATCTTTCTTGCAGCTTTGCAGTGGAACGACTGCAGACAAAGAGAGGACAGTGACAATACGGCAACACACCAAAAATGTCCATCTGCAAAATTCTATTAACAATTAATAACTCACATGTTAAGAGCATTATAGGATGAAATACACACACACACACACACACACCATATATATCCCATTTTCTCTCTAATTTTCAGTTTTCAAGTCGTTGCACTCCTGCTTTTTAACATTTATTTTCCCCTTCATTAATTATTATTTTAAATCTCATCTTCTCAGAAATGTACTTAATGGCTGCTGGAAATTAAATAAAAATATTTAAAATGTTTGATAATATGTTCTGCACAATACTGTAATCAAGGAAAAAGACTTTTGACAATTCATAAAAGCTTGACAAAAAGACAATTGTAGGTGAAATACTGCTTTAAAATTGTCTACCAAAACATCAACTTATGTGCATAATGCTAAACAGTGTTATACCTTTCATTCATTACCAGGATGGTTTACCCCAAATCGTGCTGTAAATAAGGCCCTGCAGGAGGTTACGATGAGGAAAACTGACATAATGAGGAAAACAGCTAACAGTACGGTTTTAAACTGACACTTAGCCTTTGCAACTGATTAACTGCTAGGTGTGCACTGGTAGTAAGCCCAGCAGATCACAACACAAGCACACAGGCCTATATGCCAACTAAAAGCACTACTCATCAAATAATTGTAATAACAAAATCGGATGCTTTTTTCATTATGTGAATTCAACCCTTTTCCTTCTGTAAAATAACAACATGAAACATTAAATTCTTCTATACCTCCAAAGGGAAGTTATCTTGGTTGACATCTACAGTGGCTTGACATAAATGAGGATCCAGATATAGCAGCTTGTCATCTGTATAGTAAGAGAATTAGTGTCCATATGAATCAAAGGTTCTTTTCTGATCTAGGATCAGCTCTCCATTAGCATATAATCGTATGAATTATGACAAGTGCAAAGCTGACCCCAGTTAAATAAAATGTCTGACCACAATTTCAAAATCAACAACCTTAAAGAAACCACTAACAAATGAACATGTAAAACACTAAAGAGACAGACTGAGGCAGCTCCCTCACCTTGGAATCCAACAAAATACAAAGAATGCTTTGGCTTTCCTCCAATGATTCCAATGCAGCATTTCAGCTGAAGAAGTTTCTAAAGATCAGAGCAAGAGAAAAAGCATTTGGTTGATCAATGAACAGGTGCTTCTTAATGAAAACTAAATAGAACTATTTTGTGACTATAACATTGCTACAGAGGCAGGCATATAGCCATATGCAAAGATTTGGAACCCCCTGATCAAATTCCATGTTTTGTTGATTTTGTAAGTGAAAATAAGTTTAGTTACTCTTTAAAAAGAGGGCTTTTCATGGGTTTTTCAGTAAAAAAATTGGTTCTATATCGAACCATGAACACACAAAGAACTCTGCATGACTAAAGGGTTCTTTTGTGAAAGTGTTCTTCAGACTGACGGGGAATGTGTTGTATATGGTTCTATGTAGAGCCTTTTTGAAAAGGGTTCTATACAGCACCAAAAAAGTTTCTGCTATTGTTACAAGCTTGACATTGTCACAATAGAAGAACCATTTTTGGTGCTATATAGAACCCTTTTTAAAAAGGTACTACATAGAACCATATACAACACATTCCCTATCAATGTGAAGAACAAGTTCACAGTGGAAAGAACCCTTTAATCATACAGAGTTCTTTGAGTGTTCACGGGTTCTATATAGAACCATTTTCCTTACTAAGTGTAGAGAACAAAGTTCTGCACATTTTAATGTACAATTATTGCTTATTTGCTGAATTTAAAGCTATATTCTGTAAGATTTGGGGATTTAGTGACCTCTCCTGGTGGAAATGTGTAATAGCACGCAACATGTGTGAGAGAAAATTTTGTAATGTGGGTTGCGCTTCGGACCCCTTCCCCGAGCAGATGCATCTGATGATGCAAGTATGTTGAGAGCATTTAAACTCAGTCAAAACTTGGTGAAGGACGTGTCTTTCGAGGATGAGGATCAGAATAATGGGGAGTTTGCATTTGAGACCTAAACATTGAGATTCACCTGCTCTTCTGTGTGTGTCTTACAGAGTGAAGCACAGGAGCACGCACACACACACACACACACACACACACACACACACACACACACACACACATACAATATTTTAGCCATTTTTTCATCCTCAGTTACTTTTTTCAGTTTTAACAAAAAACTTACAGTGCTTAGTGCATCCTTAACATGTACAACATATAACATATAACATAACAATATAAACACATGATATGACAAACTTACATGAAGGCCTTAATTAATCCAAACACCCAAAGATGATATGATAGCTGAGGTGGCTCACAGCACACAATAAAACATTCAGTGACTGGTTAGAAACACATTTGCATATTGCAGCTTTCTGCGATAACAGTATCATCAAGGCTAATATCAGTGATAACGATGATTAGCATACGATATATATATATATATATATATATATATATATATATATATATATATATATATATATATATATATATATATATATATATATATATATATAGTGCTATCCTGGTATGTGTACATCAGGCCATACCTTCACACATTCCACATAGGCAGGATTGAAGGCATCTCCACCAAGTCTCACAGGCACCAGTATAATAACAGACTTATTACACTGAGACTGAGATTCCTCACACAATCTCACAACATCTCCTACATAAACTATCAAGAGAGAGAAGAGAAGAGAAGAGAAGAGAAGAGATTACATACAGTGCAATACAATACAAGGGAGATTTTAGCAATATTGTACATGTTATGCTACTAAGAATGGAGCACTGTGAAGATGGACAGTCCAGAACAGCAGGATTTCTCTAGAAGAGACTGGTGATGGAACAGTTACCGGTTTTAATTATGTATTGCAATGTAAAACCCAATAATCATGCCAAATTACAACACTTCATAGTTGAAGTAAACAGCCTACTGTCATGGTCTCCCTGTAAATTACGCACCAGGCTAACACATATTTACATTTTTCATTTATAAAAAAAAAAAATGTACAATAAAGAAATACAAGATGATCTACAAAAAATCTATCAATATAATATGTGTTCACATGATTTTAGTATGTATTCAGTAAGTTACTCTCTAAAACCCTCTGGAAAGTACAGGAGAAACCCAGAGGACCTTTCAGCACTTCAGTTAGGAAGAAACATCCAATCAGGGTAAAAGCCCTGTTAGTATCCTTGACTTTGCTCTGAACAAGACACAACCAGTCATGCTTGATTACAAATATGAATGACTTAAAACTTAAAGACCAGTCAGCAAAAACAGTCCAGCTTCAAACAGCTGCTTCAAAACAAATTCTTTGTGAATAAAACACAAGAGTTGATCCTGGCCTGTTTAGATGAGCTTATTGCTCCTTTTTTCTCTCAGCACATGGATTTTTACGTGTTTCACAATAGGCAAATCAAGCAAGGCAAGTTTATTTCTAAAGCATCTTTCATACACTGCGGTCATTCAAAGTGCTTTACAAATGATAACATACAAAGATAATTCAAATTATCATTTGAAAAGTAACACAAAATAAGTATGCTTCGACAGATTGCTCATCAAGTCTACGACAGTGGAAAGTCGTTGCCTGCACTTGTTCTATGTCGGTCATGGTCACAATCATACAAGTCATAGTCACTGAAGAGTTAACTGAAGAGTTAACACATCCTCTACAGAGAACACACTTTCTGCACATTTTAATGTACAGTTGCTGTTTACTTGCTGAATTTAAGATATCGAGAAAAAAAAACAAAACATAAAATGTGGCCCGTGCGAAAGTTATGGCACTTTTTTCCCCCCATATGATAGAAATCACAGATTAGACGCAGAAGAAAGTTTGGTTAAACTTTCTAAGAATTACCCTGTAATATCTGTGGAACAATCCAATCTCCCACCAGAACACGGCAGATTCTTTTACTATGTGACTGAACAAAACCTCTATCAAAGCAAACTGCTGATGTTAATGGACCTTCATTCATCCTGAATTTTCCCAATCTACACAAACAAGATTACTTTGTGCTGAAATGGTGCACTATAGAGAAACATACCGATACGAACAAGGGGTTGTGGTGTCCATATAAATATAGTCATTTTATTTACTAGCCATTTCATTATGTACAGAGGCATTTGGGAAGAGAAAGTATTTTTCCAGCATACTGCACAAACCACCCCAGGAAACTCCACCCACCATCATGACTTGTCTTTCTCTGTGTTGCACAGATACTTGTAAAAAGCTCTAACAAAATGCTCCCACAAATCTCTGTATTACAGATCTGACGGAACATCTTCACAGACATCCAGGGTCTGGTGACACCTATATTTTGCCATTTTTACTTAAGTTCACTGGAATTTGTCCAAATACTTTTGGTCATCTGAATTAATGGGGTAAAATGACTGTGTGTGTAGCCTGGGTGCAGGTTAGGCCATTTTTATACTTATAAAGTCTGAACGACTCACCAGTGCAGTCCTGCGCTACATACACCTCCAGATTAGGGACTTCAGATGCTGCTACAGCCTTACTGCACAACAAAGAAACAAAAATAAAACTGTTACCAAGGAAACTTTACAGAAACATAATGTGTCAATGAAGTTTATACCATTTAAAGAAGAAATCAGATTTTTCAACATTTCATTTCAATCACTGAGATCTATACAAAGCCATTCAGAGTGTTTTGGCCTGAAATGGTGCATTCTAGAGAAACTTACCAGTTCGAACCATGTCTACACATTTTATTTACTAGCTATTTTGTTTTAGATACATTTAGGCCAAAGGTCTATCTCTAAGCTGTTGTAAACCACTGTCACGCATGAGGCAGCATAATCATAACAATTTTTTATGTAATAACTTTCTGTAAAGTAGCTTTCAGAGGCAATAAACTCATCAGATGTTTCTGATGATTCAGATACTATCACTACTTGGTATGTTTCTCTAGAATGGAGCATTTCACATCAAACCACTCTAAATTACTTCATTTATATCTTAAAGAATTAATTATGCAGAAATTTGGAAAAACTGGTGGAATTTCCCTTTAAGTGCGGAGAACTGCCATCTTCTGTCCATTTAGCTACTCATCCAATAGCTTAGTGCTTATTTTCATAACTCTTGCTGCAACTCTTTCATAATATTGTGGTTTCTTCACCACCCCTCAAAATTTTGAAATCACTGTTCAAAAATTTGGGTTAATGCTTTAGTTAAGTAAAATTAAGATATAATAAAATGAATACCCAGAATTCATCATGTTTAAATATTGGGGATTAAACGTTGAGATAGATAACTACAGTATATTATTTATCATTTAACTTTTTCTCGGTCCCAAAACCATCTAAAAATAGCTTGAAGTCTAGTTTAGACCATGTAAACTTATACACTGTGTAAATTATTATTGCATATAAAATAACAAAAGTTGACTATCAAGCCAAGATTTCTGAATGGTGTATGCAAAAGGGAACAGCATATCAGATCAGTATCTGAAGCCACAGCTCTCCACTTAGAGACCATACCGGAGTATGTGTGCTGCGATGGACGGGCCATACCAGTCTCCGGCCCGTTTCCCCGAGGTCTTGCCCAGCTCCACCAGCTTGTGCAGGCTGAAAGGAGCAGTGGGTGTGTCTCCAAACCAGGTTACCAGGTGCCGGTGTGTGCTGTCCTCTGTGTCCTCAACATTGTCGAACGGGCTGCCCTCACTGCGTCTCCTCCACTGTTTGACCAGGTCACTTCTCTGTCCTGACTGCCGCGGGGCTTTGACATCCAGGTCGTCTTTGGTTTGGTGATGGGCACCCGGCCATGTCCAGCCTGGGGAGATAAGTGGAAGAAAATTATATATAAACTTATAAAATTAATTAATTATAAAATTATATATAACTGTATATAAAACAGTTGTATGCCAGTTGTGTCCCAGTCAAATGACGTTTTGTTGATTTTAGAACTAATATATATATATATATATATACACACACATACATACATACATACATACATAGACACACACACACACACACACACATACACACACACATATATATATATATATATATATATATATATATATAAACAAACACATTCTCTACAGAGAACAGACTTAAAAGTGACTTTTTTTTTGCTAATTTTAGTTCACAATTTCTATTTGTATGCTCAGCTTAACAAACAGAGAACAAACTTAAATATGGCAAGTGGCACATTTTAGTACACAATTTTTGCACAGGTCCCCAATGTGTTCAATTCAGCAAACAAACAGTAACTATGCATTAAAAATGTGCAGATGTGTGTTCTCTGTAGAGGATGTGTTAACTTAATTTCACTTAAACAATCAAATCAAAACTCAAAAAAGTATTTATAATGACTCTGGAGAACATTTACATTTATGGCATTTGGCAGACGCTCTTATCCAGAGCGACTTACAATTGTAATCATTTTACACAGGTAGGCAAAGGCAGTGTTAGGAGTCTTGCCCAAGGACTCTTATTGGTATAGTGTAGGGTGTTTACCCAGGTGGGGTTTGAACCCCAGTCTACAGCGTAGAGGGCAGAGGTGTTACCCACTACACTACACCACACCAACCACAGAGAACTATCCGATTGCTGCAAAAAAATTGTAGATGATGTTGATACGGGAATATGAGATGACCAAAAGCAAAAAGCATGTTCCACTTAAAACTGTTTAACTACATACAAAAAAAATAAAAACAGCAACAACAAAAAAAACAACAAAATCAGTGTTGCTTTTTACCCCACGTTGGGTTGTGGCCAGCTCTCCCCTATGTGAGCCAGTGTGTGCATGTAAACTACCATTTTAAATATTTTTATAATCTCATCATATTAATAATTGTTATTCAGTAACATTTTTTAAACAGTGCAGTCAGAAATGTCAAAATTAAAGTAAATATTATTAAAAGATGAGCTGTGATTATCTATTTATAGTAATTTCTTGACATAAAATAACTACAAATAACATATTTTGTCACTGTTTTTAAATATAAGGCATTCTGTATATTCATTTTATTGTATGTTAATCCTCAATGCTATACAGCTTTTTCAGTCATTATGAAATCACCTACAGCTCAGTTTATCATCAAAATTGCTTATTTTTTAAAGCTTCCTATTAACTGTTTATAAGCTATAAAATCTTAGCATCAAATTAAAATTACATTGTATCTTTGTCTGTAACAAAATTGTTTTTATATTATTGAAAATAGTGATTTCAAACTTTTGAAAGATGATTCCAAGCTTTTAAACAGTAGTGGATGTGTGTGTGGATGTGTATGTGTGTGTTCTTGTCTTACTATGCTTGTGAGGACCAAATATCCTCAACATGACATTTTTACACAAGTGAGGACATTTTGCTTGTCCTCCTTTGAGCATGTGTTGTTTTCACCACAAATGACATTTTTTGTAAAAACTAAAAGAGCAGAAAAACTTTCTTTTGCATACTTAGGTTAAGGTCATGGTTAGGTTTCAGTGTAAGTGTTGTATTATTTGCAAACAGTAATATAAAAATCAACAGAAACCTATGTAAGTCCTCACAAATGTAGCACAACAAATGTGTGTGTACCCTCTGGCATCAGGTGTATGAGCAGTCCCTGAGCGAGCAACATCTGCGCAGTGCGGAGCATGCAGCCCCAGCCGCTGTCTGAGGTGAGAGAAGAGCCGCCCACAGGAGCAAAACCTTTCCTATAGGTCAGCCACAGCAGTGAGGAGAACGCCCGCCGAAACTGCTCACGGTCACCTGATATACACAAAAACATTTGTAATACCATCATTATGGGGATTCTCCACTGAGTTATGAATTACTGCTGCTAAATAATAATAAATACTGCTCTGCCTAAACTTAAACCAACACAAACTTACCTCCAAATGTAGTCAATCAGACATGTCTGGGGTCTGAAGTCTGCTTCTCTAGTTTTGCACTGGAGCTAATCTAACCATTTAATAGACACTTTTAAAGACCTATTAGCATCGAACGAACTTCATGCCTAAATCACAACACTTGCCTCAAACTGTATTGAGCTGTTAAATAATCTCACTTAGTGTTGCTTATGTGGTTTCTGACTGTATGACATACTGTAATCTCTAACAATGAACAAAAGCATGTTGTGTAGCTAGAAACAGTAATAGCAGCCCTAATCTTGGTAATATAAGCAAATATTTCCTGTTAAACACTGAGAATTTCTGTATTTTCCTATTCTTTAGTGCCCACGAAGAGACCAAAACAAAGTACTTCAACAAATGTCTTCATACACAAAGTTGAGGTAATACAGGGTGGGTTCTGAGTTCTCTTTGAATAGTGGAGACCGGGTATGGCTGTAACACTTGTTGCAGCACCTGCAAATCACTGAATTTTTGAGCTAGAGTTTTTATACAACATATCCAGATTTGTTTACTACAAAGGCTCCAATTCAATCCTCAGCAAGCATATCACAGACTTCATGAGTTGATGTCAAATACATGGTGTTCCTTTGTTACAACCTACCACACTACTGGGGAAGGTTGTAACACATGCTGGGGTAAGTTAGACAATTAGACTAAAGAAGCAAAAGCAGAAACCACACCATGCAATATGCTTCAAAAAGAGCTTTACTGAAATAAAATAACAACCTAACAACCCATAACAATGCTTTTCATCCCATGTTTGTGGTTGTTTCATGTTATATATTGCTGCCACTTGATATCCAAATTTTCTGATCTAAAGGAAAGTGGAGCAGAAAACCTGTTTTTCAGTTTGTATTCAATTTTACTCCACTCTCCAGTGGCTAACCTGTCACATGCTTAACTCATGTGGAGTTAGTCCATAATACAGGTCAAACTTTCAGTCAACACTTCCTCCTGCATCTCAGATAAAAGTTTGTTACTGCTCCAGTAACCTACACTAGGAAGATCAATGGAACCTCAGGTCTTTTGGCTTCTGCAGTAATTTGCAGTATCTGCTCAGTGTCACATGGCAGATCCCATGTGCCTTTACAACTGATCTGACTGACTTGCCCTTCTTTGTGACTCCATCATCTGCTTTTGTAAAACATTAGCAGGCACACCTCTGTCAGTCTTCCCTCTGTCAGTCTTCCCTCTGTCAGTCTTCCCTCTGTCAGTCTTTCTGACCAGGCATTCTATTCTATATAAATTATTAAAATCAATAAAATGTTCCAAGTTGTATGTAAGCGGACGGTTGTAACATTTTTCAAAGATGTGTTACAACCCACCCCACCCCTGTCAGCCATTGTTTAGCTAGCTGTATTAGCATAGTGGTTTGAAATTAGCAAGAAAAAATGCATCAGATTTTGATTGAGAAACTACAGTTGAACCTAATATAAGTCATGTGGTTTTATAGTATAAGCACTAAACAAAATACAGTGTTGGTAAAAAAAAACAAAAAAAACACTTTTTTACCTCAAAATCCATTTTTTTCTCTATAGAATCTGCAGGTGCCTGTTTCCAGTCTTGACAACCACCATGTGGGATCGGGGTGGAAGTAAGTAAAAAAACGGATCATATGAATCCTGTCTAATCCCTGACTGGTGGAACAACCATACCTGGTCTCCCCTACTCTTTAAACGCACTCAGAATCATTAGATTCGTGCATTCAGAGAAGGGATCTGAAGCACAACCCACACTACAAAATGTTGTTTCCCATGTTGCATGCAATTACACATTTCCACCAAAGGGGTCTCCAAATCCCCAAATCTTACATAATGCAGCTAAGAGTCAACCGTACCTTCAGAGCTAAGCTGGTGCATGTGGCCCAGCAGACACACAGGGGAGCTCTTACTGAGGCGGGGCTTTGACTTCAGTGACCAGCCTAGAAACAGACACAGACAGTCTATACTGAGACATTTGAAAGACACTTGTTTTTGTCAACAGAAATCCTGACAAATCCTATTCCTAAACTCTACATATCAATCAGTGACTGATGTAACTGAATTGCGGCCATTCATTTTACTAACTGTGGGCACACACTGTATAATGTGTGATTTAGTGGAGCTGTCCTGTCATGTTGTTGTTCAAAGGCCACTGTTGTTGCAGTGCCAGTTGGAGTGATTTACAGCTGGAGCCTAAAGGAACTAAAAAGTGTAAGAATGCATCTGAAGCTGAGGACAGTCAATCAATTATACAGAATCTGGAAAGTTATGATCAATCATAATCAATCAATTATTTGGCTGAAGTCTAATTTTTCAAACTTAATAATATCTCAAATAAAAACGGAGCAAACCCATTGACCTAAACAACAACACACAGGCTGAGAACCTGTCAAAACTTTTAAATGCACAATCAGCACAGCTTCACATACCTCCATATTTCACATTGTTCCATGCAGACATGAGCCTGCGTTTGAGCTTGGCTTTGTCCTGTGCTGCCTCCACATGCTGCGGGTACTCTTTCAGGTCAGAAGGTCCAGGTTTTGAGAGGACCTCAAATGATGCCAAATCATCTGGGGGATCTGCATCATCAGACCACCCAGCGCTCATGTTCTTGGTCTGCAGCTAATCTCTAACATAGCAACCTGAGAAACAGCATTACATGATTATGTCTCAACTCAAACTGCCATAATTTCTCCACTCAGTCATCTGCACCTTCAGAGATGAGCAGGTTTGTGTGGTCCAGCAAACAACTTACTGAGGTGAGGACTTCAGTTTCACACTATAAATAAAAGGATAATGTAAAATCATAGAAAATCAAATGAACATAGTACAGTAAAAAGAAAGGAAACATGTATAGTACTTAGCCAAAGTCGTAGACCATACGTCATTCATGTCATTAGCAGTCAAAACAGCCATTAAGCACAATTTATTTATTTTTCAGCATTGGGAAAAAAAAGAGAATATATTTGACATAAAATTACACAGAAGCCTTAACAACTTAAAATATCTTATCAGTGTTTCAGTATTTAGTGTGTCCACTCTTTGCCTTTATTACAGTTTCTATTCTTTTCAGGAGACTCACTTAAGTTTTTCAAAGAAATCTGCAGGAACATTTTTCCACACCCTCAAAGTTCAGTCTTAGAAGTTGGTTGCAGTTTCAATAATGTCCCCTAAAGGGCCCTGTAGGTTTGGATCTCTTTTTCCCTTAATTATAAAGATCTTCATTTATAAACTGCATTTTGTGTTTACTTGTGTTATCTTTGTATAACATTTAAGTGTGACAAACATGCAAAAGAATAAGAAATCAGGAAGGGGGCAAACACTTTTTCACACCACTGTATATAGTATACAGACTTTACAGTGGTGGTGATATGATCCAGGGGTTGGCTTGTCTACAACACAAATATAGCAGCCTACAATCCAAAACCACCAGTGAATCTTAATGTTCTGAGTTCTTATATGTAACATTGATGATGGTAAAAGAGTTGTTAACCTGACTAAATAGGTTTTCTTTGGGAACTACTTTGCCTTACAACACCCTACATGTATCCCTCCGCCATGAATAGATTAAAATATATGGATTAAAATACATATAAAGCCAAACTGTTTCACAAAACTATTGCAAAACAACATCTCAGTCATCAGGCAGCGCCTTCATGACTATTTCATGCAATACCTTTTTGTGTTGTAGTTTTTAGAGGTATTAAGATCCTCAGATGTCTGGTTCCTATCACCAACAATTCTGACTTGTCAAAAACAAAGCATTTCACACCAAACCACTCTGAATGATTGTTTACATCTTAATGATTTATTTGTGCAGAACATGTTAAAAATTGGTGGAGTTTAATTAAAAGCTATTATAAAAGCTAATATAAAAGCTATATTAAAAACATTGTCTATAATTTTACTTGCTCTGCATGCAAGTGACTTTTCTCCTGTTATAGATTTTTTTAACTCCTGTGACCTTAATAAACTGACTCAAATAATGGGTGGCAAAACCACGTATTGATTAATTTGTCAGCAACAGAATCCTGTAATCAATGGGACATTTAACCAGATAATGATGACACACACAACACACAAGCATTTCAGGCCTACAGCTTGTTTCACGTTAGTGTGCTGCTGTATAATAATTAGTCTCACCACTGAGGCAAATATGCAAAGTGAAACTACAACCTTTAGAATCTGAAACCGACCTCAACAACCAAAAGCACAGCATGTGACATTCAGGCGACCACAAACAACACAGACACTAAACTCCTTCCTGGAAAGGCTGAGAATCAAAAATTCAGCTTTAGCAATGCTAATTAGCCCAAGACTAGACTTAACTACAGAAAAAGAAGGTTCTTCAAGGGTTCTTCAGTAAAGGCAATGGTCCTATTTAGAACCATGAGTTCTATACAGAACCATGCGCATGCTAAAATGGTTCTCTGCATGGTGGAATGGTTTTTCAGATTGATGGAGAATGTACTGTATATGGTTCCATGTAGAACCAAAAAGGGTTCTTCTAATGTTACAAGTTTGACATTGTAACAATAGAAGATAAATAGAACTCATAGTTCTAAACAGAACCATTGCCTTTACTAAAGAACGCTTAAAGAACCATCTTTTTCAGGTGTGTAGGCTTTGCCTGCTGTTCTGAGTGGAAAGCTTTACTGCTCATGCCACAAATTCATATCACTGCGAAATTTCTGCATAATTAAACTGTTAATGTGTCAACAAGTCAAAATTGTTCACAGTGGTGGTGACAGGAACCAGACATCCACCTCTAAAAGCTATTATGTGAAATGGTTATGAGTACACTGCCTGATGCTGTGAGGAAATGAAAACCTTTCAGCTTTACTACAATTTTACCATCGTCAGCATTACATATAAACACTCAAAAGACACGTGTACGTTCACTGGTGGTTTTGGATAGTAAATAGAGTGGCTATATTTGGGCTGCAGACATGGTGACCTTCCTATCAGCACCACTGCAAAGAAGTCTGAGTCTCTGACAACATTTCACATCAAACCACTCTACAACGACTTTGTTTTCATCTCAAACATTGAATTATACAGATTGTTTTTAAAAATCGGTGGAATTCCACTTTAAAAGCTCTGATCATTTCATTGGTGGCTTTTCCACGCCAGCAAGAAGAAGGTGTTGATAAAATACAGGTCATGTTGGAGTCGCCACCATAATCCACAGATTCAGGCCGCTGCGGCGTGGAAACACCCTTCAAGGTGTTTCCATGGGCATTTTTATGCTTCGGCAAGTTAACTTAACGCTAAAATAGGAATATACTTCTAAAAGCATGGCCACTCGGGGGCTTAGGTCTAAAAGCGCACAAGAGAAACGTTAGCACTGATATTTTTAGAAGTCTCGTAATTATTCTGGGATTTTACTGTGGAGAATGAAATGATACACCGCGAAAACATAACCTAGAGGTGCTAAACCCTTCTCTCTTTAGATGAACCAAACTCACGTCCTCCGGGAAAAGGAACCCAAACAGTTATTTCTGAGGGGACCAAGGCCAAAGGACTGTTCGGAGAAAAACTGGTTCTTTACGTTAGAGGACGCAACGAGCCCGAAGTCTGACAGTCAGTGGTGGAGTCAGTACCTCACATTTTAATTCACGGGTGGCTAAATCTCTTCAGCGTTCAGCGTTTTAATAGAACACTCTGAATGATGATTATGGTCCATAACGTTAGCTAAGTTCATATTCAGCGCTAACGTGACCCGCCAAGTTCACTTTGCCATCAAAGCTAAAGTAGGCTAAGAGTTAGTGCTAGCCAGCCAGCTAGCATTCGCTGTACAGCACATACATTGTCCGTTACTTTCATTAATTTGGTGGAAATCTGCTTACCGTGCCATTGGGGGTGTTTTAAAAACGCCTCTTTGAATCTGGCAGAGATTTGTGCTGATCGTGTCGGTAGTTGTTAACGCAAAACCATGTTGTGTCCGCCGATAAAAAATACACTTCCTGTTTACCCAGTTCGTGCCTTGGCAACGCCAACAGTTTCCGCACAGTGATTGGCTGAGAGACTCAAGTCCCGCCCTAATAGCAACTGTAGTCGTGTCGTCATTTTGTAGTCGGCGCCATGTTGTTATGCCCTTATTAGGAACTCCGGGTCTGAGCTCCATTTCTCTACGGGCCAGAATGAATAGGGTTTTAAAAAAATCGCCTCTTCGCACCGTGTTAAATAAAAATGTTCAGAACCCGATACGTTTTGTCCTGTGAACATTCTTCTCTCGAATACCACTGGATCCTCTGAATTATGAGGTCGTTAAAGAGTTGAAATATGAATATTGCTACATGTGAGCTAAAGCTACTGCGCACTGAATTCACGTCATTAGACTGGCAGCCTCCTTAAGCAGGTTTTGGCACTAAACATTTCCATGTTCAGACTGAGGGGAAATAAAAAGGAGTCAGAACAAAATCAGCAGGTTTCCCTGCAGTTCTCTGTTCTTTATCTGATGCTCACTGAAACACGATGGAGCTTTCCTTTTAGCTTGATTTGAAAAGATCTACAAACGTACCTGAACTCAGGCTAATCCAGTACAGACTCATCTTAGTATCACTGCTGACCCCCTGAACTGATTTAGGCTCTCAGAATATCCTAATTATTATTTTAGTGCTGGTAACACTTTTTTGAGGACATTTTCTCAGGACATTCGCCAGCTTTGTGTTCGACATTTCCCGTTCCACCTTAAATGGCGCAGCTGTTCCGAACGTGACAGCTGCACCATTTAAGGTGGAACGGGAAAATTTGAACAAGCAGACGGTGAAAAAGACTTCAGCTTCATGGAGGATTGAAAGGCATGATATGAGGACGTTTCTCTATTTCCGCTTAACAGCTGAGTCACATTAACTTATTTTGCTGTTTAACAGAACCGACAGGTCAGTATTTTGTCTTGCTTGCCTGCTGTGATAGCTAGTCACAGCTGCTGCACCATTTAAGGTGGAACGGGAACATTCAAACAAGAAGCTGCGAGAAAAGAAAAGAAGCTGAATTCAGCCTCGTAGTTTTAACACAGGTAGTATTTTTGATAAGGAGTTTTAGCCTATCAAAATATGAGTATATTTACGAGTATACCCGTAAAAATGCGATACAGTAGAATGTTTCGATAAGATACCACAGCTCATCTGAGCACCGCCACAGCCCGCCTTAGTGTCGTGTAGCTTACTGACATCAAATTGATGCGAAGTAGCTTTAGCTTACATATATCACAGAGGATCCAGTGGTATTCGGGAGAAAATTGTTCACAGGACAAAACGTTTCGGGTTCTGAACATTTTTATTTAACACGGTGCGAAAAGGCGATTTTTCGAAAACCCTATTCATTCTGGCCATAGAGAAATGGAGCTCAGACCCGAAGTTCCTAATATGGGCATAAAGAGGACTACAGAATGACGCACGACTACAGTGGTCTATTATATGGATAAAATAATCAATTAGTAAAACGTTTACGGGTTCCAACAATAGGAAAGCTGTCAAAACACTGAAATGATGTACATATTTTGTTATTTTTGTATAACGTGGTATCTGATTGCTTTTGAATCCCTGGCTGTAGGTCTTTTTTTGATTTTCTGTTTTGGTTTTATTTTATTGTTGGGGTCTTTTGATTGGTGCTTTCTTATCATATTTGTACGTTTGTTATGTATTTAAACCAAATAAATAAATGAATCAATAATCAATTAGTAAATGTAATCAACCTGTCACACGCAGGCATACTACTGCTTAAACAAATACAGTGCAGCTTTATTATAGTCATACAGCTAATACAAATATGAACAATTAATATTTCTATTAGTATATGTTATTAGTTAATTTTATTTATGAGTATATATTTATATTATTAAATATATATATATTTAATTTTTATTTGCTGCATATACATTCACAGTTGTTTGAACAAATTACAACAAATTTTGTTGATTTTCTCATTGAAAATTAGTACGCATTCTATACAAGGAACATACTTTTGAAAAAAAAGATCAATGCCCAATTACAAGTTTATTTGCTGAATTTAATATATTGGTGCGAAAACATAAAATGTTGCCTGTGCAAAAGTTTTAGATAAATTTAGATGTTAAACTAGTGTGCACCGAACTTTGCAGAAAAATTGCATATTTGCATTTTTGTTTCCTGAGCACGTCTCAGACTCCAGTCCTCGCAAGCCAAAACACTGCAGACTTTAGCACACTGCCTCATGAACACACCTGATTCATCTCATCAGCTAATTAACAAGGCCTTCATGAACTGAATTCAGAGCATTAGATGAGGGTGAACACTGAACTCCGCAGCACTTTGGCTCAGAAGGTCCCCAGTTTGCCTGCTGTAGAGGATGTGTTAACTTATTTTCATGCAGAAAATCAACAAAACATGACTGGGGATTTACAATATATAGAACATATACAACTGTATATATTGTAAATGGATAATCAGCCATTTCTCCCCTATAAAGTAAGGCAGGAGGAAACGTAGTTAAATATACAATTAAATTACATATAACACTTTATATGGGAAAAGAAAAATATGTTTGTGTTTATGACACAAATAGAAGGAACGGAGAGAACCTCCAAATAACAAGGCAATGTTAATCTAATTCTTTAAACTTTTTTTATTACTTTTATTACTGCACTTTAGCCTTCTTGCATTGGTTCACAACATTGCCTGAGGAGAAAAAAATCATATAAACAAACAAACAACAAAGTAAGAGGTCAGTAAAAAAAGACATTTGCTGATAAAATGTAAAGAACTAACAAATATTTAGAAGAACGCTATGGATCCATTTTTAAGACCTGAAGATGAACATGCTTTTCACAACAGCACATAGACAGCTACAAAAAAACATTCCATTAAAGTTAAAAAAAATAACATACAGCAATGAGTAAACAAATAACTAACAGCTGCAAGCAGCAATTACTGGGGTCCAAGCACTTCAGCCAACAGGTGGCACTGTTACTGTAGATCATTTCTATTGGGATGCGAAGTGGAACACGATTTATGAAGCATGTGTCATGCCTATTAAAATGTGACAATTTCTGATCAGTTTTTCACACATACTAGTGGATCTGAGGGATTTGAACCAGATTGTGAAAATAAGCATGGGAAGAAAATTGATAGAGTTGGTTAGAGTTGATCCAATATTTTAAGGAATCGGGTGAAAAAATAAATTACAATTCAGAAAAGAAGAACAACATTGCTCAACTCATCACAGTCAGTGTGGTTGAGATCTATGAAGATGCGGAGAAAAGCAACTCCTAACGTACAGTAGCTGTCCGGCACCTTTCGTGCTTGGACCCCTACTCAATTGATAAAGTGCATTCTTTACAGTGACTTTAATTCTTTAATATTGGAGAGAAACTGCCTCAGGCAAAGGAATCTATGCCTACGGAATCTAGACACAGAGACGGCAACAGCGACACCCAAGTAGGAGTGGATCTGCTCCAAAGGACAGTTCACAGACAACAGTCTCTATTCTACAACATGAGCTCATCAAACACACTACCACAGACTAGAATGGGACACAGACTTGTGTGAAGATCATGTTCATAAAGGTTTCTCTACCACACGCTACCAAAGCAAAAACTTTCACAAACAGTAACATTCCAACGCTGGCAGTAAACGACTCTAGTATGCAATATGGGGGCATTTTACGCACTCGTATGAATTCTCTCTCTCACTCCTCTAGTGTTTCTGCTGCTCCAACACACCCAATTCTACTCTACAGAAGGGATTTTTAATGAGCTGGACACCTTAGCCCAATGACGATTCTAAAGTGAAGAGTGAACATCACACTGAACACTCTCTACCAGCTAAGACCACCTTAGCATTAAGATGCTTTTGAAAAACAGTCCTGATGAGTTGAATCAGCTGTGCTGAAGCAGAGCTAACGCTAAAATGTGCAGTGCAGGGCTACTACAGGACCACGACTCTGCGCTAGAAGATAAGACAATGTTCTAAATGTGAACTCAGATTTGGTCGATCCTCAACATTAGTTTGTAAACAGAGGCAATGTAAAAATGAAGGAAAAAAAAAACACTTGCTAACTGTTGGAGGTTACATCAACACACAAAAATGGTATACTTATATAAAATGTGGACATTGTAACGCCTTCAAAAGGACTCAAAATGGTATTAATCACATCTACATCAAATTCAGCACATCACCTCTTACCATGAGACATCACACTTTGCATATGTAGAAGTATTAACTTTCAACAACTCTTATTAACAGTGCATTCAACAGCGATGCATCACAGACAATGCATTATTTTCCCCTCCACGATGTACAGCACATCCAAGGCCTTTCACTTTAAATCTATTATGTGCACTAATTTAAAAAACAAAACAAACTATTTTCATTCTCACACACAAATGCTTTCTATCCTTGAGGCTTTGTTGTTTCTATTTTTTTTTTTTGTAAGACACTCTCACCCAATCCTAATGCAGCTTTACCAATCAATTCTTTGTTTAGCTTTCAGGTCTTCTGTTAGGCCATTGTGTATCGGAGGACTGCTTTTTCTTTCCCTTTTGCTCTGTGCCTCCAGTGCAAATTCAGATATGACAGTAGTCAGTGTGCAGTCCACAGTACTGCTCTTGTGCAAGTCAGTTTTCCACTCTGAGCTCAGTCAAGCCCAAGCCCTTAAAGAGGAATTTCACTGATTAAAACACAATTAAATCATGAAGTTATTCAGAGTGGTTTCATGTGAAATGCGGCAACGTGGAGAAACTTACTAAGTCAGAAATGTTCATAGTGGTGGAGACAGGAACCAGACGTCTGAAGAGTTTAATGCATCCAAAAGCTACTTCACAGCAAAGTGTTAGATAAAATGGTTATGAATACGCTGCTTGATGCTTGAGACATTTGCGATAGTTTTGAGATCAGCTTTTGGCCTAAGATGTATTTTTGAAAGTCCACTGATGGCAGAGAAGTGCATGCAAGGCATTGTATGGCAAATCGTATCTAAAGAATAACATACAGTTTTCTATTATCAACATTACACATAAAAACTTACATGTATAGGTTCACTGGCCATTTTGGATAGTAAATAAAATGGCTACATTTGCTACCCTTTGGTTCCTTCACCACCACTGTAAGGAAGTCTAAGTTTCTTAATGAACCATTTTACATCAAACCACTCAGAGTTATGCAGAAATAATGAAAAATCAGTGGAATTTCCCCTTCAAAACACATACACACACACACACACACAATTCCTTTCACAGTCATTAGCAGTTCAGTCAAAGAATTGATTGATGCATGACTTCATTTAGAAACTGCTGATAAGCTTCAACATATCCTAATGGCAGAGATTAAGTTGGATACATTTTTCCTCCACCTCAGCTGAAAGTCAACCTTAGAAAGTGTTAAAGGGTCAAGGCTAAACTCCAAACCGTCCTAACACCATGAAACATTTCCCCTCTACACTGGCTGAAACATGAATGTTTGAAATGTTTGACCAGGTCTTTCTTCCAACACAGTCAAAAATATTGATGAGAGTTGGCGACGAGTGATTTGCTGTTTGCTATACAGACTGGGAATGGTTGGATGTGCACGATGTTCACGAGCATTAGGTCTTTGCTTAGTTTTTCATTTCATATTCTTTGTTTTTTTTTTTTCTTTTATTCACAATTTCTAACATGCATCTACATAGACATACGGCTTCTTTATCCTATATACAAATATGGTGTCACACCTACATAAAACACCATCTATACACATACACGAATTTGACAACAGTTTTGAAGCACCTTTTTCTTTGACATTTTCATTGTTGGATAGATGTATCTTGTTGATTTGGTGGCTGTTAATGTCATACATGCTGCATGACAAGTTCAAGAATTCCAAACAGGAAGTTCAGGAATGCTTGGAAGAGCTTCTCGAGGCCTTTTCGGATTTGGAGGATCCAGGTCCAGGCCATGTGCCTGTGGGTGCACGCCGGCCCCCAGATGAAGCCTCAGACTTTCCTAGTGTCCCTGCCCGCTTATCGTCACTCACTTTGGTGCCCGAGTCCTTTCCTTTGCCCCCATCTTGAGATCCTAGCTTCATGGGCCCAAGCACTGTTTTGGCCACACTGGTGAGCTGCGTGACGAAGCTCGACCTGTCGCCAGGGGAGATGGCACGTGATTTGCTTGCACTAGGAGATGGGGCAGTAGGGGAGGGGGAAACCGGATTCTCCTCCAAAACCTCCAGGAGAGACCTCTCATCCCGGGGGGCTCGGGCTGAGCTGGATGGGGCCGGAGTCTTTTCTTCCTTTGACTTGGTTTGTGCTGGACCTGCCTCTGTTAATGGAGCTTTAGCTTTGATGTCTGGACCTCCCTTTTCACCACCTCCACTTAATACCTTCATATTAGCATCCACAGTCTGGGTGCTCTTCCCAGACTTCCCCACCTCCACAGCTCCTGTCCTGGCTGTGGCGTCTCTCTCCCACCCCACTTTACCTTTTTCTTGCCCTTTTCCAACTACTGTCTGAACAGCCTGGTGTTTTAGCTCCTGCACTCCCGCACTCTGGCCAGTGGGGGTCCGCTCAGGCGTTTTTGGATCACAGCCCACGCTAACAGTCTCTAGTTTCAATAATGGAGTTTTACCTCCAGAGGCCGCTAGTTCTTTATCTGCTGCTTTTGCTGAGGCTGCTGGAATGGAGGCCTGGGTTGCCTGGGACTTTGACTGTGCTTTGTCTTGCTTTGCAGGCTCAGAGATCTGGGCTGCACTGCCATTGATGCTAACAGTTGCTTTGGTTGACTCCATTTTAGTGGTTGTTTTTGACTCTACTGTCTCAGACCGTTTGTCTTTTTCAGTCAGCGACAAGTCGCGACTTAAGGGAGATCCCTGCCGTCCTATCCGGCTTGCCATTTGGAGTGTATCATCGCGGCATGCATCCGAGAGCTTGTGTGTGGGCGACTCAGCAGCAGGAGGAGTGGGCGGCACAGGGGAGTTTTCTCCTTCGATCTCCAAGAGGCTCTGCAGGGCATGCTCACAGTGGAAGGATTCCCGGCGATATTCAGCATGCGCCACATCCAGACTGTGCTTCCTCATGGCCACAGAGAGGCTTCCCTTCTTCTCTGGACATGTGACAGACGATGCAAAAGACCCTGACAGTGATGACGCTGATGGAAATGAGGGTGGAGGGGGTGGGCCCAGCTTCTCAGCCGACTGCACCCGCTGGAGAAGAGGTGAGCGAGGTGGTTCTGCACTTTTGGGCCGCGGGCGTGTGATTGGCGGAGAGGAGTGCAGCTTGGCAGGAAAGGTCTGTGTGGTGTTGGAACTGCCGACAGAATGACCGGTGATGGGGGGTGGTGAGGACGTAGTCGGGGAAGGCGTGTGGGCCAGCGGAGACAGAGGGATGTTCCCAGCTGATTTGCAGCGTGATGAGCGGTACTGGCGGTGCAGTTTTGGGGAGAGGCCGTGCAGAGAGCTTGGCCGCATGTGCTGCGATGCAGCAGGGGAGTTTGGTGTGGAAGACGCAGGAGAGCTACTCTGGGAAGATGTGCCTGGTGAGAAAGATGGAGTGAAAGGTTGGATTAACATTGGGCTTATGATGGGTTAATGTTTTGTAATAAGGAGTTAAAATCAAGCTAATAGTCACAAAACTATGAGGTTAATATTGGGTTAACATTACTATTGGGTCAATACTTTGTCAACACGGCAAGAATCTGGTCAGCATTAAAAATAACAAAAGAAAGTCACAAAATCCAGATTTTATTTTAGAAACTTCACGTCAGTCTTATTGATGTCAGGGGAAAGACCTGAAAACTACAACTGGTCACACATCAGTAATGTCTTTCTTTCTCGCATTACTTCTCAAGTTTATTTTGCAGGTGATGGTTATACAACTTGCCTGGAAATCTTTTATTTTTCAGAACAGAACATTATACATATCTGAGGAATTTTTAATTGTAAACAGTTAGTACTGCTATCAGTTTATCCTTAATATAAAAACCATAAATCAAGAATTATATTCTGAAGGTTAAAGGCTGAATGGAGTGGAGAATTCAACATAATGACACTAAAGTCATAGAGGCTTCCCTTCATTATTCAATAAACAATTGGTTTCTGGGTAGGTACAGTAGTCAGCGATTGTAGTTTGTCACTAGGGAGATGCTTGGTTAGTTTCTACCTGATAACTACCGTAATTGTGCTCTTGACTGCAAAACATACCCAGGGGACTATCCTTGCAGATGTGTAGGTGGCTATGTATGTTGCTTTGTGCAAAAGTGTCACATGAATATAAAGCACTGCATTTAAAGCTATACCACTGAGTGCTGTGTTAATGGAACTGACCAAGGTAGGCAGAGTCTGGTGGAGAACGGTAGGTCTGTGTGGGGGAGCGGGCTGACAGGCCGTGGGTTGGAGAGCCAGGAAGACTGTCCCCAGATGACAGAGAGCGGTTCAGAGAAGACAGACTGCGGCTGGTGTGCAGGAGGTTTGACTGTTTAGTGATCTTACGGAAAAGAGAGCTTCGTTTCTTACTGCATGGACAGAGAGAGAGAGTGGGAGGAGGGATGACAGGAAGAGAGAGAGAGAGAGAAACAGAGGCAGAGGGAGAAAATAGCATTACTAGAGAAGAATATAACATTAAAGAAACAAACTAATGGTGACATTTTGTTTTATTAATAGGAAGCAAAGGTTTAATATATAAAAATGGCTGGATGCCCTACCTCTCCTGCCCCTCTTTGGTTATCGATCTCTTGTTGCGGCGGGCCATCTTGGCCTTGTAGCTGGCCTTGCGTGCAGGCCCAATTTTAATGGAGGTGTTCTCAAACGGGGTCGTGGTTACTGTTACCTTATTACCACTCTGAGCAACAAACAAATAAAAAGACCTTTAAATTAAATAATCTAGGGAAGCTACTGGGGATGCACAATATGGACATAAATTTTGATGTGCAATCAAGTTTCTGGATATTGCGATGATAATAAAGGAAAAAAAATATAGTTAAAATAATACAATTTCTGTGAGTCTCTGGCTGGATGTGCAGCAGGTACAGACCCAGCTTTTTTGCATTTCTTTTGTAATCAACACAACATTTACATTATTTTTTAAATTTAAGTTTATTTATAATAACAGTAATGACAATATTCTACAGGATCAGGTGGATTTTTCCTCCTGTTTCTGTATGACAGTATGACTGTAAGCTTTCCTTTAAGCAAATTACAAAATTACAAAATCGCCATTCACTAGTTTAATGAATAGTGATATAGTGCAGTTTAATAATAAAGTTAAACACTAGCCTGCAATGCAAATGTTTATCCATGCACATGTACGCAGCTGGATAGCAGAGTGGTTAAGCCTTGCACAGGGGTGACAAGGTTTGACTGGCCCACTGAGAAAGGCACACCACTACTAGCTAAAATATTAGATATGGCTCCTTGCGCTACATTCAATCCATTATAATTACTTCACTCTGGTGCTATGCATACATAACTTAATTTGTCCTGGTAACCATTCTGATATTGCTGCATTGTGTTTATCACAAAAACTCACATTGCAAAAACTCATATTGCGATGACAATAAAAATGTGATTAATCGTGCAGCCCTAGAAACCATCACAACCCATCAAGGAATCCCTGTTTGGTCCCTTACCTTTAGAATGAGTTCCACCACCTCTGTATGAACCAATCCATGGACAGACTCTCCATTCACATGGGTGATAAGGTCACCAGCACACAGACCTGCCTCCTGGGCGGGTCCACCACACTCCACATGCTGTGATTGGAACAAAGCAACATCAATAAACCACTTCCATAAATAAATTTATTGATGGATGATAGAAGATCTAGATTATGTTAAAACAAAATGTTCTGCCCAAAAAATGAACACTAACATGTTCACATAATAAAAATGAATTTCCAGCAGGAGTCCTTACCCAGACAATGTGATGGACACTGTAGACGTTACTGTCTCCCATGTAGACTCGGATGGCACGAAGAGTGAAGCCATACTTCTTGCCCGAGCGTTGGATGGTAATTGGTGATCGTAGCACGCTGACAGAGGGAGAGTAGTCTCGGCTGGGGGACGAGTCTCGTGAGGACGGGTTGGAGGAAACAGAGCGTGGAGACATCGGGCTGGCCAACGGAGATGTCCCATGCTGCTCTACTACGAAAAACAAGGACACAAAGCGTTACTTATGCAAACCACCAGCATGTAGTACCCCATAGGACCCCATAGGAAATTACTACAGTGCCAGTACTACAGGCCCAGTGTTAGGATTAATTAGTCAAGGAGGTAAAGAAATTACTGAAAAGTGGTGAGTAAAAACTTCCACAAAAATAAGGGGGGAAAACAGCTGGCTGGGTGACAAAATGCAACTAGGCCACTGACTGACTACCTTTCATGTCATGTCTAAGGTCTCGTTCAAATGGCAGCTGAATTAACTTAGCTGTGCCTTCCTCATGTGCGACATATTTATTCTGTGCATGCTTAAAACGTCTTTTCATTTGGAAAAGTAGTTTTCACATGTTGCTGTGTATGCTCCAGATGTTAATCTGATCTTTACTATTGTCAGTACAGAAGGTATTACTGTTATACAGGAATGATAACGCTAACCTGCCTGTCCAAAATACTCTGAGGCGTCCACGGATCTTGACCAGACTGGTCAATTTCAGTTTAACGAATCTGTTTAGCGACAGTAAACTCGGCTCTTCACTATTCAGTTATTCACCACAACATTTACAGTATGAGCCTGAAGTTTTGCCTCTGGGTGACCTTCTATCTTACCTGCAGGTATGATTACAGATAAGGCAGTGGCGGAAGCAGACTTTATGACCTTGGTGCCAGTCCGAGTCTGAGCTCGTTTCTCCCCATCAGCAGAGAGCTGGTGATGCCGCGCTCGTCTGAGAACCAGGTCACTCGTAGCTCTCGGCCCAAAGAGGTCCGGAACATGTAGTGGTGCTGATGCCATGGCAGCATCAGCAGGCTTCAGCAGTTTGTCTGGAAAAAGAATAGATATAAGATATATAAGATTTAAGAAATTTTAAGAAATTATTTAAGAAATAAGAATTTAATATTGCAGGGACAGAGTGGTTTTATTTAGTCTATCATGATGAAACTACAAACATATGTAATTCTAAACTAATAGGTAATACAAAGTTTGACTTCTTGGTAAAACCCCACAAACCTCCTCCTGGTGTTCCTGGCATCCCTGGTCCAATAGTAGAGGACTCTACTGGGCCTGAGCTGGCCGGCAGAGTAGCGCCCTCTAAGGACATTCCTCTGGCTTTTACTGGCGGCTGTCGTGTTGGTGTCTCTGCTTCACCCTCTAGTGGAGAAGCAAAGCGATGAGTGTCCATTAGAGCAGAGAAACGGCGGCGAGCACCAGACGGAGGACTGGAGTCAGACTCTGTGAAAGAGGACTCTGAGCACGAAAGACGCTTCCTACAGCAAGAGAAAGAGAGAGGGAAAATGAAAAAATATTGAATTATGTTAAAGGAAAAAAAGATTCATTATAATAAAACAAAACAGTGTACACGGATAGAGCATATGCCATAATCATTGATAAATTAAAATGGAGAAAAGAAATTAGAACCTGTCAGGCCAGCATGATTTAGTCTTAAATAAAATATACCAAATACCCACAAACCATGGGAAATAAATAAGAGGTCATCCACAACAAATAAAAAAAATATTAATACGTGTCAATTCATAAAAGCCTCAATCAATTGATCGACAGCCTTTCTGTTTTTTTGTTTTCTTTTTTCATATTATCAACTAACATCTCAGGTGAGCCTGTCCTCCATGTTTTGTCTCTCATTGTGAAGCTGCCCAGGCTCTCTCTTTTCCCCCGGTCATCCCGATGACCTTTAGGCTCTCTTCGGGTCACCACAGGCTTGTGCTCCAGTTGGGACAGATGCTCCATACTGCTATACACCTGCAGTTCAGACAAATATAGTTAACACAACCATGAATGAGAATGAAAATCACATTACTCATAATCTCTAACAATTTTTCATTAAGTATGCATTAACCAAAATGCATTCAAAAGAGCTGCCATTGTTTTACAATTATTCTCATACATGTTAAACCTCTAATCAAACCCAGAATAGATTAGTGTTTTGTTTAGTTAAGCAGTAATGAAAATACACTAACTAAAAAAAAACTACTTACTAAACACAGATGTGGAGTTGAAAGGGGGGGGGGTTAATGGGAAGACAGAGGCATAGAAGTGTGGATGAAGGTGTGAGAGAGCAGGACAAAAGACAAAAGTCAGATAAAACGAGAAAGTAAGAGATAGTTAAGGAGGAGGGGAGAGAAAGAGGGAGAAGTCTAACCTTGCTGAAGCGAGGGGAGCAGGAGGAGAAGCGATGAATCTCTACAGGCTCATCATCATTAGTGTCATCTTCATCAAAAGAGTGAACATGATGGTACCGTTCGGAACGTGCTAAAAGAAAACAAGACAAGAGTAAGAACATGGAGACAAACTCACTCTCTCTCTCTCATACACACTGACACTCACACACCTCACACACAAAGCCACTCACTATCAAAGTAGCTGGTATCCTCTTCTGACTCCAAGTGAGGTATGAACTCAGCTTTCTGCCTCAGCAAACTGTTCCAGTCCAGTTCAGAAAAGAAGGGGTGTTGTTTCACTTCAAAAGCACCACCTGCTCCACACACACATACACACACACACACACACACACACACACACCACAAAAAAAGGAACAGCCACTAAATACTGGGCTAGCTTGACTTGGAATTAATTTCCAATTTGCCTGATCCACTCAGACCAGTGCAATACACTAATATGCCACCACCATGTCAGTGTCACTGTAGTGCTGAGAATGATTCACTCCCCAGATAATACCTGTTCTGTGGTGGTCCGATGGGGGTCATGACCACTGACAAACAGGGCGAAAGGTGGCTAACAAAGTATGCAGAGAAACACATGGACTAGTAACTGTAGAACTACAAGGTGAACCTATATGGAAAGTGAACAATGTGTGCGGAAACAAGGACGTCGTTTTCATGAAGTGGCCAGTTGGTGTAGTTAACTTAGTGTAGCTTAGTAGTACCTACCTGTGCCCAGTCTGATCAGTGGGTTGGTCTGGAGTAAAGCAGAGATAAGGTGCTGGGCATCTGCAGGGAGTGCTTCATCACCCTCAGGCCACACAATGTCATCTACATAAACAGAGATAATAAAAACAATGAGATTTACAGTAGATGCCAAAATGGTGCAAAAGTACCTTAAAAGTTCCTTAATCCTAAAGATTTTTTAACTGAATACCTGTAAAGAGGTTCTGATAAATTAGGCCTATTTATGAATCACACTGTACAGTTAGTGTGACAATCAGAAGTATTTTAGTTACTCACCGGAGATGACCTGTCCGAACAGCTCCTCAGGTGTGTCCCCGAAGAAAGGTACACAGCCCACCAGGAATTCATAGAGGATGATGCCCATAGCCCACCAGTCCACAGGCTTACCATAACCCTGCCGCAAAATCACCTCTGGGGCAATATATTCAGGGGTGCCACACACCTGAAGGCAATGATCAGATGTAAGGTTACTTTCTCGCCCTATTGACAGGCAGAGTAAAAGACACACACTAGAGGTCATGATTGGGCCAAATGATTCAAACAGTCTAGACACTTCCCTTATTCAACACAACTGACTCCACAAATCAAATCATTTAATTATAACCTGCAAGAACAGAGCTAGGTGTATTGAAACAAGGAAACACACTAAACTCATCAGTGCAATTTAATTGTGGTTTAGTGGCACCTCTACACTATAAGGTATGACTGGATCTATAGATACCAAGCTGATGAGCTGGATTAGATGATTTAGAATCTTGAGTTCCACACAGACATCTGTGGATGTACCACAGAAACATCCTAACTCCAAAATTAGTCACCACAACAACTTCAGTTAGGTTTCAGTTTAGGGTAGTAGCTTTTAGAGAATAACATTTCGTAAGTTCATTATTTTCTAACATCTGTTGTAAGCTTCCATTTTGGATACAGATCTGGGGAGTGGCGATGACCCATTAAACTGCAGGAGAAGACGCTGCCACACTATTATTAACTTTTGTTCATTCAAGGTTACTGAACCTTTTAGGTCATTGCCATTCAGAATTTATTTATTATTTATTTGGTTTTTTTTACCATGATAGTTGTCTAGCTGACTTTAATTTACATTTTTGTTTGCATTATTTAAATCATGTGTTTACGTCTCAACTGTGCTTGTATATAAATCTGATTATCGACCTTGACTGAGTAGTTTAGGATGTCCTAACTTGAGATAAAATAAGATGGTATAAAATAGGAAATAATACCTGAATTAGAAATAAATGAAATTAAGAATATGTAATATAAATTCATGAAAAACCTCATTTTGAACATGTCAGATCTTAACTTAGATCAGTCCTTAACTTAAGAAGGAAAAGAAAGATTTCCTAAAGATAGGAAAATTTATCTGCCAATTATAGTGGTATCTGCGATGGTTCATCTCCCATGTCAGTCAGCAGAAAGCACCACATAACATTTAAGTACAAAAATTTGTGATTATTGTTTATTATATAAGTCCTAGTTTAATCACACCTTAGGTTGACTTAAATTCCCTCAAGAAAAACAGCTCGATAGTGGTAGCTCTGTCAATCCTAGAGAAAGCACTGCTTACAAATCAACTCTCTACGATCTACTGGTGCTGTATTATAATGTTACATTGGTACAGGTCATTGTGCAGTAAGTGTTATACCTGTTTGTCAAGGAACTCTCTGGTGTCCTTCTCAATGTGGCCTTCATACAGGTTTGTAGTAAGACTCATTAGACCCATCTTAGACAAGCCAAAATCAGTCAGCTTAATGTGGCCCATAGATGTTATCAACAGACTGTGAAACAGATGGAAAGATGGGGGAGGGGGAAGGCAACAAAGAGTGAGAGGGGAAGAGACAGAAAAAGGGCAAAAGAGGTACAAAGTGTAAATATAGTACATGGGGAAAGTCTTTAAAATTCAAATCTATTTTAAGACTTAAGGATCCGCGAGAACGCTGCTTGAAGGCATCCCGTTTTGATTTTATAAAACCTTTCATGAATTCTCATGCCCTACCTCACAGTGTTTTCTGAGAAAAAGACAGCTAGTATCAAATTACTCTGCTACTCATTGAGAGTTTATGTAATGTACTTTATGTAAGTCTATGACATACATCTTTGGTAGAGGTCTACGGTAGATATTTATGGTAGTAGCTTTTGCGTCACTACACACAATCAGATTTAGTGGAAATGAGGGTAAAAATCCAATTAACCTTTATCGGAAACAAATGACAATCCAACAGGGATATTACAGACTCCCTGAAGCAAACCATCAGCTGTGATACTGTAAGCTGACACATGTTAATTATGTAATTGACACAATTTCAGCTTCGCTGGGTCAATCACTTGTGCTCTGGGTATATAAAATGCTGTTGTGTATTAGATGTCACTGTACATTTAAGCTACAAGGACTGTTTGTACTAAAATGGCAAATAAGTACATTTTATGTATATTTACAAGTTTAGATTTATATCTGCTGCTAACGAATTATGTAATAAGCATTTCACACAAATGTGCATGTATTTCAAATTAATAAGAAATAAGATAAAAATCAGGTCAAACACATAATGAATTATAAGAAAATAATGTGGATTAATATTATGATGTATCTTCACAGAGTATTTATCCCTAGACATTTAAACTACACTGCATCTTAACAGTGCCAAACAGTAAATGACAGCTTTCGCTAGACCCTAGAAAGTGGAAACTACAGGACACCAGGTGGCATCTTACTTGTCAGGTTTGAGGTCACGATGCACCACTCCATAATTGTGTATGTATTCAAGAGCAAGAACAGTCTCAGCAAAGTACATGCGAGCCATCTCCACAGGTAATGCTCCAATGTTCTTCAGCAGTGTGGCACAGTCTCCTCCTAACAGCACAGAAACAAATAGTTAAGTTAGTTTAGCCTGCTATTTAATTTAATGGAATACTTAATCTGATAATACTAATGAATGAAGGAACAGTTAGGATGCAAACAAAACTACTGCATGTAAAACAAACTTGAAAGATGCACTCCATTCATTGCTAGTACTTCATAACATCGATAACAATGATTTAATGCTAGCAGTAGCCAGTTAGCTTTATGCAAATGAGATTGTGCTAACCCATTTTTATTTTCTTATTAGCAACATGAGCATATCTGACTGAAGCATTCTTTTAAAAAGGTACTTTCTCTACTAAACAGTGATATTAACTTTGAAAGCAACATCCCCTCTAGGACAGCTGTTTTTTGTGGGCTTCACAAAAGCCTTTTTTGTAGAGAAGCTTTATGTTAATAAGGTGCAAAGGTTAAATATTTTAAGTTAGTATGTGTACAGAGGGTCCTAGACCTTGAGCCTAAATCAAATCCATCACGCTGAACATCTGGCACCACCATCATAAAACTCTTGTTTCCACACTCTCTTGTTTAAAAAGAGTTAAGGATACATTTTCAGGCCTTTTAGAACTTTCTATTGTCTTTTAAGACTTAATGGTAGCACAGATGGGCGCTACCATTACTTTCACCCTCTCATACTACCTTAGTAGCATCTCAAAAGAAATTAGACAGAAGAGAGAAGTTAGTGTCAGCAGGTGTACTTAAATTGCTTTTCTGTTGTCCTTCGCCCAGTCATAAAATGTTTAACAGAAAAACAAAAGCTGCATCTGGTTGAAACACTATGTGTTTAAAATGTCAGAGAAAAATCCTCTATGGAAAGAAGTAAACACCCTCTAAAGCCAAAGTAAAGAATGTTTTACTGCAGAAGAGACACATAAACATAAACATAAACATAAAGAAATAAGATATGGAAAACATTTAGAATGAGACATCCAGTCAACAATATCACCCAGACACTGGACAACGAAGCTCAAAGCCGGACACCTGGAGACCTTACTCAGAGTGTATGTGCTTTCATGTCATACCCAACATGTACTCTAATGCTAAAATGAGGTGTCCATGTTTGCAATATCATACCCTCCACATACTCCATGACCATGCAGAGGTGTCTGCGAGTCTCGAAGGAGCAGAACATGCTGACCACAAAAGGGTTTTCGGCAAAGGTGAGGATGTCTCTCTCCACAAAGGCCTGCTGGATCTGGTTCCTCAGTATCAGGTTCTGCTTGTTGATCTTCTTCATAGCAAAACGCTGCCGTGTCTCTAGGTGGCGCACCAGGTATACAGCTCTGAACACAAATAAACAAGCATTTTAATAAGAGAATAAACTTTCCACTCTTCAGTTTAGCTGTGCATCACTTTTCAAATAAAACATGATCTTCAGTTTGTTTTCACAACTTGGACAATAAAAAGACAAGTACAAGTCCTAGTTTATGCATTTGCTAGCAAAAAACATTCTAATAATAATAATAATAATTATTATTATTATTATTTCACTAATACTTTGAGTAACCAGAATGATAAGCAAAGGTTGAACTGGCCACAAAGGCTTGATTAACTCATAACTGATGCAATCCAATATGCCAACAGTTGTTTCTACATATTATAGAAGTCCGCAAAAAAACAAAACAAAAAAAAAAAACAATAATAAATCAAAAACTAGCTTTTTTGATCAGACAACTTAATATCTCACCCATATGCACCGTTGCTTATCAGTTTGATGGTCTGAAAGTCAGCTTCACCAGGTGGCTTCATGACTCTCATCTTTCCCTGTTGGAAAAAGAGACAAAACATTTTGTACAACTTATATATAAAAGATAACTTCCTCCACCCTCCATCTCCTTCTCTCTAAGCTGGAGTTTGTTTGCTTCAAAAGTTATTTATAGCTGAATATAACAGTGGCCTCATTCTGAAACATTTAAGCTAAATTTAGCTTCATGCGCTGTCAGCCAAAAAGTGACGTGTCGCAGGTTTCGAAGATAACAGGATATAAACTGCAAAAAGTGGTAAAATATCCATAACAAAAGCTACTCTTCGATATTAAATATATATAATATATATAAATATTTTCATGCTTTCTGTAAGCTCCTTTTGCCGATTACTGACTGAAAAATTGCAAAGAATGATTCTCTCAGCTGTCTCTGATAGCAAGGTAGTTAATGAGAGGAACTTAGAGTTTGCCTTCTCTCAGTTTGCTAATCATGCTAAATGGAGGAGGCTAAACTGATAAGTGGATTAGTTAACAGACCTGAGAAGTGCATGATGACTGTAAGTGGGGCTGGAGTGTACATCAAAATTCACATTCTGTGCATGTAACAATACGTATGTACAAGTGAACAATACGTATTTTCAGGCTTGATACAGATCCTCCCCACCCACTTTAACTAAAAGGATAAAGGTGCTTAATTTTGACAATGGTTTTCCTGAAAGACTGCAGATGAAAGTCCCTTGGAAGACACAGAGGGGTGTTTTGATGATATAGTTTTAAATTTCACACTCAAACTTTTACATTGAAATCGCTACACCCTTACATGTGTGTATCATGTCTGACAGTGCAAGTGAACTGATTTGTGCTGTCTGTATGTTCTTACCTCTGCAGAGTCATCAGTCTCAGGTGTCAGGGGACCCTCACTGTCATAGCTGTCCAGGTTGACCATTTCTACATTACCAAAGGCCAGGAGTCAGTATATTAGTCCATATATGTAATTTGAATTACATTTACTGGTCCCTTTGTTAATTCTAAACCACTCCAAGCCCCAATACCACATTTTAATATCCACATCTCATTCTACACTCTCTCTCTCTCACTCTCTCTGTCACTTAACTGCCCTGTCTCCCCAAAGCACATAAGCAGTATATTATTTACTACAGTATGTATACCTTATGTATATAGTACATGCAGTATATGTCTGTTTGCTCTACTGGCATACACCACAAATTTGTGCTGCAGCCTCATTTCTCATAGTCTATTCTCTAAAATGCTCTATCCCTCTGTCTTTATATCTCTCTCTATACATCTCTCTCACCCTCCAGAGGGTCTTTGGTCAGGCCTAGCTGGCTGATGATGTAGCGTGGGATGTCTGTTTTCATTAAGTGTCCCTCTTTGGCATGGTCCTCCGCTGCCTCCAGCAAGTGGTAGAACTCCTCTGGGTTAAACTCCTACAAGAAGAGGGGGACACACTTCTGCATGATGCACATCCTATTCAGATCAATAGGCTATGACTGCTGCAGGTTACTGCCCCAGACTGGAGAAGCTCTCAGAGTTTTGATACACTGGATAGAGCTGCTTTCATTCTAATTTGTTTTTAGCAGGCATAATTGGACAGGGGGGGAAGCATCGATAGAAAACGGGGATTATGGATTTTCCATTTAGCTTACTGCCATAGTTGGACAGAGAGGCTGAAACTTTTAAATTATGCCCTGCTGCTAAGAACCTCAGACATGACTCAGAGAGGACTGTGGCTTCAAGGGGCACTGATAGCTGTAACATGCTCACAAGGCAAATAGGACTTTCAATATAAATGCAAATGTAATCACAGGCTGGTTCTTTCCGTCTGCCTCTTTCTATCTCTAGTGGCTCAGTGGCTGTTTTTGCACAGTAACATATGTTCATAAAGCTGCTGTTCACAAGTTTGGAAAAGGAGAGGAAATTAGTTTTGTGGTGTAACAGGATTTGCTGTGGATGGCGAGACAGAAAATATGAATGAAAGGAAGAAAGAAAAGGAGAAAATACAAGACTCACCAGACACTCTAGGAGACGTGCAGGGCGAGAGATTATGATGAGGAGCTTTTTCACCAGCTCTATGACGAAAGTCAGTTCTGAACTCTCCGACCGCTCGTGTGCCTGAAAGAGAGGGAGAACGAAAGGGGGGGTTGTTAGACAAAGCAATTTATTCAGAAGCATGATCTATTGTTTACCTCTTGAGAAACTAAATAAATGCAGAGAAATTGATGGGGGAGAGAACAAAAGCTGGAGATGAAAAGTAAAAGATAGCTTAAGGGGCAAGACAGAGTACCAACACTCAGAGATAAGACAAGAGAGGAGTGTGGACACATAAGCCTGCAGGGCAAGAGACAGGAAGAGACAGAGAGAGAGAGGAAAACGCAGATGGGGGAGAGAGAGGGGGAGCGGCACAAACATTCTCTCAAAAAGATACATTTCTAATCATGCTCTTTAGCAGAGCAATCCAATCACTGCAGCCATAACTAACCAAGGATGTTTTATTACAGAGATAAATAGAAAGACAGAGAGAGATAAAGCAAGAGAGAGAGAGAGAGAGAGAGAGAGAGAGAGAGAGAGAGAGAGAGAGAGAGAGAGAGAGAGAGAGAGAGAGAAATCCTTATCCTTACTCTGACTTACATAATCAGATTAGCAGATCACCCAGTCATATCTCCTATAATCAGATCACCCATAACTTCCTAAGATGACTGAGTTAGCCAAGATAAGATTATCTGATGACATGAATTGTGAGACAATGTACTTTACATCAAATCTAAACTTCGTAAAAATATTTACATCAGTGCACATATTATAGGATGTAGTGAGACTGAGCCTTTTTTAACTTCCATAATAGCAGATGAGTGTCTCAATAAACACCACTAACAACAAGGATAAATGCTCACAGTTCCTTCATTTCTGTGCACACCCATTCAAACATACTCACATCATGCAATAGTTTCTCCAGGTTCTCCTGCAGCTCGTAGAAGTACACAGTGGTAATGAGGCCTTCTTGTGATTTGGTCAGGCAGTCCCGAGACAGTTCTATGATTTGGTGATGGATGAAGCTCAGGACCCCATCAGCCAGCGGCAGCACAGCCTCAGGAGAGTAAGACTGAATGAAGTCTGCCAACCGCCCTTCCATCTGAGCTGTGGCCTGAGAGAGACAGACAGAAGCAGATTCAGCAGATTAAAAAAAAAAGTCATTAGACATAATTTGTATACATATAGATGAACCATTTTTTCTGTGGCAGCTTGGATATCATAACTCTGTAACAACCAACACACAGGAACAACTACAATACATAGAAATACACCAAGGGCAAGGACCTCTATAGTACTTCTTACCTTTGGGAAGCGCTCTTTGTACACATGGTTCATCATCACTATCTCGTTGTCATAGCAGGATGGAGAACGGCCCGGACTGCACAGGCAAGTAAGGTAAGGATAATCAAGCACAAGTTAGATATAGGACACTGTCCCCAAGGCCTCCCTAAGCCTACAGTTCTTGTCCAAGTCCACACAACAACAACATGTGGGTGTATAGGGCAAAAGGGTGTCAAGTTTAAAAGTGTGTATTTGAGATTGATTGGTGCAGTCCTCATGAGCACAGGAAAAATGAGGTCCCTAGGACTGCATGTGCTCCAGTTGGAACAAGGCTTATCTTTCAACTGAACAAGTGATTTCACTCCCAATAAACATTGACATTGTCTGGGTGAGAGGGGAGAAAAGCCATGTTTGTCACTGTCAATTCTCACCTGCTATCTAGGTGTCCCCCTATTACACAATGCTTCCTCCACGTCACATGTGGCCAATCACTGTATATTTTTTAAAGCTGCCTCTAACACAACACTGTAGGACAGCTGAACTTTGAGTAGAGCACTGCCTGCCCAATTCAAGACCTAACAGGTGCCCATGATTAGGTAACACCAGCTATATTAGCAGGCAGAAAACTAGATTTGTATAAATTTATACAGTATTGATGGGATATCTGACAATTGTTCTTCTTGCTATTACTCTGAAACATGTAGATATTACAAAAAGAACAACTCTCATACATCCTATCAATACTGTATAAATTTAAAGTCAGGATCATTGCAGATTTAATAAATATTATACCAACTATTTGACTCCTGGTCACAAACAGTTCACTGCAAAAAATATATTGTGGCAAAATCTTAAATCGTTAGTATACATAATATTTCTCATTATGAGATTGTTGTGAGAAAACGTCTTTTGACGTTTTTTTTTTTTCTAGAGAAATTGCCTTACTCTGTTGTTATATTTTTTTTCTTGTTTTAAAACATAACAGATAACATTGCTTGTTTCAAAAAACAATGCTTGAAATAAACAACGATCTGTTCATAAAAAAGCCACTTTCACTAGATAAAATGACAAAAGTTAAAAATGTATAGAAATAAGTTAGATAAATCATATAATATTCTTATAATTATAACCCAATATATCATCAAAATTAGAAATATTAGATATATCAACTAGATTTAAGATCTCAGCCAACAGTGCCACTCAATCACTATAAAACTATGGTTTGGCTTAGTTTGAGACTACAGTAAAGCACTACTGCTAACTGCAGCATATGTATGTATGTATATTGTTTGTATGTGAGAGTATGAATATATGTACTGTGTGTCTGCATGTACCTGAGGCTGCGTGAGCGAGGGCGTACGTGTGGAGAGCACCGCCCCCCATCATCGTCCGTAATGCTCTCTGTGCTGCCAAAGTGTTTGGACAGAAAGTGTAGCTCATCCATGGTGGGCTGGAAGGGCAGCTGGTGTAGACGCTCCTGAGAGGAACTGGAAGACTGAGAAAGGAGGGAGGGAGACAGAAAGAAAGCAGAAAAACAGGGGGAGAAGGTCACAGAGAGAGAGAGAGAGAGAGAGGAAGAGAGAGAGAGGGGCGGAGGGGATTACATCACTATCACCATGATTACCACAAGTTAAAAAGCAAAAACTACAGGTGTTGTTCTGTTTTAGTACTTATAACAACATGGCAAAAAAACTCACTCACACAAATGACAAAAACCTTGTTCATAAATCCTTCACAGTTTAAAGAGAAAGAAAAAAATGAAAGATGAACCCACTCATCGACTCATTGAACCCACTCATCTCAATCAAGTCCTTAATTAATTCACTTTCACTTGATTGATAACAAAGCACAACCCAGGCTGATGGACCACTTAAACCACAAACGAGACACTTTATGTGCTAGATGGTCTCATAAGTGGTCTGAAGCTTGCGTGTGGAGCTTGTAGTTGGGTGCTTCATCATGCCAGGCTACCAGTTTAGTGTGCAGAAATTAGGAATTAGCAAATCAAAAACCTCATTGATTGTTTACTCATACACAGGTCATTAGTGTAAAATTAATAATTACACACATTTAGTTCTAACTCAACAAAAAAGACAAAAACTGGCAAATCAAACAAAGAAGCTGCTGGTGTTTCCAGAACAATGGGCTGGGAAAGTGTTTGAGATTACTTGGATTGTGAGAAGCAGTAAATCCAATGCTCTTCTAAGACTGAACTTCAGAAGTGCAGAAAAATATCCCTGCAGAATTCTTTGAAAAACTGAAAGTCTCCTGAAAAGAATGGCAGCTGATAAAGGTTAAGGGTAGACATGCTAAATTTATATATTTAGTTGATTTAATTTTCTGATTTTGTTCCTGCCACTGAAAAATGAATAACTTGTAGATAATGGCTGTCTTGTCTGAAATTTGGGCACAGGGCAGCTGTCTTCATTTTAAGGGAAGCAATCAGATTCAGCAGCTTGGGTGCTAAAATAGTTTCTGCTGGTGCACCCATAATCCTTGCACTATGTTGCATCATCCCTCCTCCTAAAACCAGGACTATAGCTTTGTGAGAGGGACAAAACACTGTGCATGTCTCTGTGCCACACTGAGGAACATTCTTCTCCATCCTGCAGCTTGTGACAGAGCTGACTGTGGTGATGAGACTAAATGAGGGAGATTTGTAACACTGAGTTTAGCACTAATAGGGAGATCTATCTCACACAGCCGATGGGCAGGACAGCGTACACTCTCTCTCTACTTCTGTTTCTCCTTTCCCTCTCTATTACATCCATTCTGTCTCTTTCTCTCTCATTCATCCTTACTGCTTTCTTTACCCTAGGCAGAGATAGAAAGGGATGGAGATATAGAGATGAGAGGGCACGTGCGAGAGATACGAGTTATGTAATACACTCAGACAGTGAAAGACAGTGAGACTCCTCAGAGGGGATGGATAGGGGAGAGCACACAGAAACAGTGTAATGGACATCACAAGCAGTGCAGAGCAAGATGTACAGAGTTCAGAGGTTGAAGAAGCACAAAGCAGTGTGTGTGCTGAGCAAAAGAGACAGTGATCAGTTGATAATGGGCAGAAGTATATACAGTTCTGGTCAACACTATTGGCACCCTTGCATTTTAGGAATATCATGTACAATGTTTTTAGACGTAACAAGAAATTGAACAACTTTTAATCATCAGCATATTGTCACTAAGTGTCTAAAACGATGTCAATTTATATGTTCTTTTTTCAGATAAGAAAAAATGACCTGGACAGCATCAAAGACACTATTTCCTAATACTTCCTAATATTCCTAGCAACAATGATAGCCTCCAATTTTTCTTGTAGGCATCTATACGCTTCTTACTATTTGCTGCTCCACTTTTCAAAGGCAATTTGTTCCAAGTCTTGAATTTTTTCCTTTTACCAATAGCAGATTTCAGTTGAACTGAGATCAGGACTCCTTACTTGTCAGTTTAACATAGTCTGTTTTTTTTCCTTTAACCATTCTTTTGTGCTGTTTAATGTGTGTTTGGGTGCTGGAAAACCTATGATCTTCTAGACCTAATATTTTGACACTGAGTCACACTGGTAATCCTCTGATTTCATGATACCCTCAATACCCAAGGCCTCGAGTACCAGAGGCAGCAAAGCAGCCTCACAACACTGTGGAACCTCCACCATATCTAACCACAGGTAGGCTGTTATTTTTGTTATATGCTTCATTTTGTCAAGAATCAACAATCAACAGTATCAACAGTAACAGCACAAGCCTTCACAGACTTTTTTGATCACTCTTTCCCTTACCACAATGTCTGTGAATGTTCTTGACAGTTTCACAAGCTATAGACTTCTTAATAACACTGCAACTATGGAAGCAGGGATGCCCACCAATCACTGGTTAATTCAAGTCATGCGAGTGCTGGCAATTTGTCAAAGGAGAATATAACTTCAGATTTTCAGACTTCAGATTTTAATAGTTCCAATGGTGCCAATAATTGTGCCCTGGTCAATTTTCAGTTTGTATCCTATTTTCATACATTTAAAAAAAAATACTGTTTAATCTTTTGCTGCTCTGTTTCATTCAAATGAGTGTACACAGACCAAAGTTGTGCTGCTGCCCAAATATTATATAGAATATATTGTGTATTGTATTACAAAGAGCAAAGGTGCCAATTAAGTTTACCAGAAGCATACATAAGAGTGCTAGATCAAGTACCAATGAGCTGAGCTTGTGTGTTAAGAGTTAAAGCAGGACAGGTACCGTTGAGCTGGGTGTGTTGGTGCCATACCCAGAGGAAGGAAGAGAGGCCAGAGACCAACGGCGCCCGTCCCTACAGTTCAAGAGAAACGAAAGAAATGAAAGAGAGAAAGAGAGAGAGAGAGGGAGAGAGAGAGAGAGAAGATGAAAACAGCTCAGTCAGCATTAGACAACACAGCAATTAATGTGAAGTAAACGCAGCTAACACTGATGGACCCTTCAAAGCCAATGTATCACCTAATGTCAGCTGCAATGGCTATGCTAGCCAGCCAGCTGAAGGCTCCAAGCTAACTAGCTAACTGGAATCATGTCAATTCCAATGTATACGTGTGTTAATGCTAGCTGTAATATGTATGTATTCTGTATGCAGCCAATATAAAATGCTTTCCCTTTGCTGGCCTTAAAGAGAGGTCACAAGGCACATGAACACACACGCGCACACACATAAATATACAACATTACACTCATCTTCCTTAGAAAGACATTATACCACAAAAGGAGCCATAAACATGTATAAGAATGGTGAAAATGCAGTATAAGCTTGCATGTTGAATTTGTGTCTGTACGTGTGTGTTTTACCGTCTAGAGGAAGCAAAAGAGAAGTGAGCAGGAGTGCTGGGAGAGAAGTTGCGAGGGCTGTCCAGAGGGCTACTTCCTGTGCAGACAGGAAGAGAAACAGGCCACTTTGAAAATCTTATAACAGGAGCAGAATGTAAAAGCTTTAACAATGACATCATAATGTTGAATGTATCTGTTAATTTAGAGATATACAATACTATAAAAGTCCACCCTTCATTTATTAAATTTCCAGCCAAAAAGAGAAGTACAAATTGCTCATTTTTCAGTGTCAGAAAAAAGAAGAAAACATAACTAACAGAAAATTACACAGAAGCCTCAACAACTAAATATATATTTTTTTCCAACCTTTGGTTTTATTACAGCTGCCATTCTTTTTGGGAAACTTGCCATCAGTATTTCAACGAAATTTGCAGGGATATTTTTCCCCATCTCCAAAGTTCAGTCTTAGAAGTTGGTTGCATTCTGCTTCACAACACATTAAACACCAGCATTTTCTGTGCCTGATTAGCAAATTTTCTTCTATTTTGTCTGTTTCCTTTTTTCAGTAACAGGTTCTTGACAGCTACACATCTTTTCAGACAGTGTTGAGTTATCTTCTCACAGTGGAAGGATAGATAGAAACATCTGTGGATTTTTTTTTCAGATCTGAAGCAAGAATGGAGCTTGATTTTCTCCTCTCTCTCGAAGACGAAAGCTTTAAGTACTGTTTATCTGATGGTGACAGCTTTGATGGTCTAGCATGTCTTACACGGTTGCTAGGAGTCCCATTTTCTCTGTATCTTTTAATTATTTTTTGAACTCCAGTTTTGAAAAATCCATTTTTTAATTTATTTTACTTTGACTTTCATTCCTAATGCAAGTGGATTACCTCTTATCTAATCTCCTCAGACATATCTCCTGAAAAAATCAATAACATACTGGCTATTTTGAGTGGAAATTAAATAAATGAAGGGTAGCCTCTGACTTCTGCACAGTACTGTATAGAAATGTGTTTAATGCATGAAACAGAACATAAAAGTAAACATAGCAGGCTTATTTTTAGTAAACATGTGACATAAAATTATATGTAATACATCCAAGTAATGATGTGGTTGCAAAGAGGACAGTTTTTTTTCAGTAATGAAATTTTATTACATAAAGTACTCAAACATGTGAAGTACACCCTAACTGTGTGAAAGTGGATAATGAGTGTATGTTGAGCATGAGGGTGAGAGCCTGAGAGTGTGAATACAAGTGCATGCTGAGTGTGTGCGAGAGTGTGTACTGTCTACTCACCGATGTGTCCAGGTAGAGGAGAGTGTGGGCGGGGCAAAGTAGGCGATGTTGAGGTGAGAATTAGACTCTTTCTGTTACTGGTGCGGCAACTGTTTTACACATACAAAAAAAGAGAAAAAATGAGCATTGTCATACTGTCATATTATGTAAACATATCACAAGTATCAGAAATATTTAAAAATCTCTTCCAGTATAAAAGTAAGAGGTTCTTGAAGTGTAAGAGTCTTACATTCTAACTTTTATTCGGCTCATTCAGGATCAAAATTCATAAAAAGGGGTTAAAATGCAAGAATCTAAAGGTACCAATATGACTACACAGACATTAGACAACAATTAAATATATAATAATATTCAGTGAAGTTTGCAAAATAAAAGTCTCAGGCTATTTTCAAAATCATATCAAAATAAAGGTCAATTTACACCTAGCCTAGTTTCGCAAGACTGCCTTCTGTCTATCAGCAGACAGTGTGGTGCATTTTGTCCCTTATCATGACCAAGGACCACCTAATTTCACAGAAAAGGGCCACCTCACTGACTGAAGGCCGTTGTTGTAGAGACCAGGATTTTTCAAAACGGGGCTACAACCAATACAAAGCCAGAGGAAATAAATGCACAGGCAAACACATGGGGACATCTCACTTAAAAGCTACTAAATGCTTCAAAGAAAACCACTTGATAAATTTTAAAAACTTCAGGACATGATCTTCACAAACTTTTTTTTTCAGTCTAGAGACTCACAAACACAACTGACACAATCTCAATAGTTGTGGCCAGCTTAGCATTCAATGAATATCAGACACTCCATCTACGTGTGGGCAGAGCGTCTGAGGCTGAGACTACACCTAACCAAACTAGATCTAGCACTCTTATGTATGCTTCTGGTAAACTACAGCAGGTCTCAATATCAAACTATGCCAACATAAAGCAGCACTTCCCTCACTTGGATATGGAGCATGCATGAGGGGGTTCAAGGCTCAGACCCAAAGAGAGAGAAAGAGAGAGAGAGAGAGAGAGAGAGAGAGAGGGAGAGAGAAAGCTTTAAGAGTGTTATATAACTCACTGATACTTTGGCACCATCCACACTTTTTCATCTCTTTAGAGAAAGAAGAAAAGGAGAACTGCTGCCACTTGTGTGCGAATGCGATAACAATGGCTGGCAAGCGCGTGATCAGCATGTATAAGTGTGTGTGTGTGAGAGAGAGAGAGACAGAGAGAAGAACAAAAAGAAAGAGAGACTGTGTGTACACAATTGAAGAAAAGCTTTGTGTTACTGTGTGCAACTGAAGAAAGTCTTTTGTTTCTGTGTGTGTGTGTGTGTGTGTGTGTGTGTGTGTGTGTGTGTGTGTATGTGTGTGTACAAGAAAGAAAGAAAGAAAGGGTCCACGTGTGTGTCCAGGGACCCACTGCAGCAGGACAACAACGATAAAGAAAATTCCATTTCCTCAGCCATCAATCCCCTCAGAGGAGGCAAAGTGAGGGAGAGAGAAAGAGAGAAAGCGAGGTAGTGAGAGAGAGAGAGCAAGAGACGGTTGGAAAGAGAGAGAGAGAAGAAAGAAGAGTGATAGTGAAGGAGAAAAAATAGAAGAAGAAACTGACTGTGTGAAAGAGGGAGAGGGTGAGAGAGAGAGAGAGAGAGAGAGACAGAGAGAAAAACAGCGGGAGAGAGCAAGACTCATGCTTATGAGATGCTTTGAAATAGGCAAAGTGGAGAGATTACAACATCTGTTTCCACTACAGAAACACTCTACAAGCTGCTCATACACCAGCACTCAGCCATAAATAACATACAACATCACCACCAACACTATAATATACCATACAGCAGGGTTTCTCAACCTGTGGGCCGCAGACCACCAGTGGGCCGTGAAGCACCCTCTAGCGGACTGCAGGCTGTAGGGGGAGGCAGCAGTTCGTAGTGGGCCAGTAATGTCATTTTCAGTCATAAAAAGATAGTGGAAAAAAGATTAACCTAATAATTAAAAATATGATCATATATAATCAAAATAATCAAATATAATCAAACATTTTTCAATTATAACCGACATAAATAATACAGATATGCAAATAAAAGGGTTAATGACGTATAAGGATTTTCAACAGGACAATTTTACGATACAAAAAATAAGAATATCTATTGCAATAGTTCAAACACTGAGGATGTTGTGAACCCATAAATTCATATTAAAATTTACATTATTTTAGTTTTTAAATATTGTAGGAGTAAGCTAGATAAACGTCATCAGTTTGATACAACGCAGCCACGGAGCGCAATGCAGACAGCTAGCTAGCCAGAGATGGTGAAGTTTCTCAGGACGCTTTCACACCTGCCTTGTTTGGTGCGGATCTACCAGACTTTTTCTTTAGTTCACTCCGTTTTGACATGTGTGAACACTCCACCCATACTCAGGTCTGCAACAGACAGCTAAAAAAAAACGTGGGTTTCAATCCGCTTCCAAGCAAACCCTGGTGCAGTTCACTGCTGGTTTGAATGCATTCTATAATGAAACCAGGGAATTCATAAGTAGAGCTTGCTTTCCCCTTCTTCTAGCAACATCTCAGAGCCATACTGTCAATATAATCTGCCTGTTTTAATGTCTGACTCTTTACAGACTCTCATCTGCTCATATATTGTTCCTGCAGCACGACCGACAAGCCGTAAAATAACAGTGTATCAGCGACCTAAGTAGTTGATAAACCAATGACAACTGAGCAGATATAAAGTAAGGTTTATAATTATTGTTGATTGTGACAATGCTAATCCAGCAGCCCAGTGAGAGGAGTGAGGTCTAGCTATTGCAAATGCATCCCAAAAGCCCTCAAATCTAAAGAGACATCTCGAGACCAAACAAAAGCCAGTGGAGTTTTTTCAGTGAAAATATGATGGACAGCAGCTCCAAATCACAGTACACTTCGCATCTCTTCTATATATTTTTTTTGTGTCTACGTATGTGCATGAGTATGGGAACTGTCTTGTGTACTGTTAATTAAACCTATACGCGTCCCCTGTACCTACACATGTCCACTGTTTCTGACAAGCTCATACATGCAAGATGATGGAGGGACTTTTTAAAAATGATCTAGCTGCTGCTTTGTACAAAATAGTTGTGTCGGTAAAGAAATATTGACTTTTGTTAGCCTTGTTAAGATAATATCTACAAACTGTACAATATCTCTGATATGGACGGGTCAAAATCAACCCAAGAAAAATGTTTTTTTTCTACAAAGGAATAACTTTTCTCACTAACTTTGTCTCCTACTCACACTTTGCAAACATTATTTTTTAATTACCAACAAACAATGCAATTAGCTAGATTTAATCAGGAGTAGACTCTACTGCAATACATGAAATGCTGCATAAATATCATTGCATTTATAGTTTCTGATCATACTATAAATGTGGCATGAGTGGTTCATTTCTGTCTGACTCATCAAGCCTCTGAAGAACAGAATATAATAACGCATATCCTATCGCATGTGTATCATGAAAGTGTCTTGAAGTATCATGATGTTATATTTTTGCCATATTGCCCAGCACTATTTATCTCTGCTCTACTACACCTGATTCAGCTCAAGACATACTCAATGTTATTTGATGCATTCAGCCAGGTCTGTTAAAACAGGGAAACTCAAAAATGTGGGTCTGCAAATTGGAGAATTATCACACTTTATTAAAAAGGATTTGGAGCATTTAGGTTAAAATTTCTATCACTGAGTGATTTTAGGGATGCTGAATGAACAGGGCTGCTTCTTAGTGTGTGTATATACACATGTAGCAAATATGAGATGTGATAGATCTGGGGCATGTTTACCGAACGTCCATGAACGAAGCCATCATCATCATCATCATCATCATCATCATCATCTCCCTCTGCCAACCCCCTTCGCTTTCTTCTCTTCCTTCTCTCCTCGTCCTGGTCTGTTTTCTTCTCTATCTCCCTCTCTTCTTTCTCTCCTCCTCCTTTCCTTTGTTTTCTCTTCTCTCCCTCTCCTCTTCCTTTTCTCCTCCCTCTTTCTCTCCTTCTCTCCTCCTTCTTTGCCTGTTTTCTCTACTATGTATCTGTCCCTCCCGCTCTTCCTTTTCACCTCCAATATTTGTTTTCTTATCTTTATCTCCCTGTCTCTCTCCCTCTTTCTTCTCTTCCTTCTCTCCTGCTCTTTGATCTGTTTTCTCTTCTCTATCCCTCTCTTCCTCTCTTCCTTCCTTCTTTCCTCCTCTTTCATCTGCTTCTCTTCTCTATCTCCATGTCTCTCTCTCACTCCGTCGCACTCTTTCTCGTTCTCCCTGAGGCGGTGCTGGAATGTCAGAGGGTTATGGGGCGTTTATCTCACAGCTCACTGGGGACTCTCCATCATACTAGCTTAAGCACAAATCTTTCTATCTCTCTCTCTCTCTCTCTCTTTTGTTCAGAGGCAACAGTACAAAGCATTCATATCAAATTAGACTAAGTAGAGCGTTTTTGTTCTTACAAAAACTTCAAAATACAAATGTACTTGTTAGCGATACACAAATTTCACAATACAATATATATTATTATCACCACGATTCATTTCTGATGCTGAAGTAGAAAGCAACAAGTAAAATGAAGCAACTTTCATTTTATTTATTTGTTGTTTGGGACCTAGGGACTGCATGCACTACAAATGTATGAGTTAACTAGGGAAGGGTTGGTAACATGATATGACCATATCTATCATTATTATGATCACACCACAATACATTTTTCTGAACATATTTTAGAGAGTACTTAAGAACAACTGCATGTTTCTTTACAAAGAGGTCATAATTTATCCTGTTTAAGGCAATGCAGTAGATTAGATCCTGTAATACATATCTTCAAGGGTAGATATATATCAAAAACAGGTCACTTGGGCCACCAAGTCAATTTCATGTGTCATTTCATGTTTATTGTGAAACATATAAACTGATGGTTCGTCAAAAGAGAAAAAGATTTTTTTAAAAATGAGACCACAGGCTCTGCATTTTTAATGGCCAATATGTGAAATGCTGTGTTCAGAGGCTCCAGGCAATAGGCAATGCAAACCCCTGCATATCATTTATTGTGAAGAGGTGTTGAAGTATCATTATGTT